TCCCAGTGTTGGTTAACTGTGCAGTCCTATAGTCGCCCTCACGGCGTAGGAATAGAAGTAGTGGCCCATAAACCAATGTATTCCAGTAGGTAGGTACATTTTCAAAATAGGAAACCTAATCATTTCCTTATATTATACTGTAAACGACTCATGTACAATTTTCAAAATCACGCAACATTCTCAACAAATTCCTAAACAACTATTAAGACACCAGGAAACTAAATATAAATGTAATAAATTATTAAATCTAATAATGTCTTCTTTGAGTAAGATTACCTGTGGCCTGAGAATACCACAGAGCACATAATTCACAAGTCTTGCCAAGCGAAGCGAGAATGTCAGCGGTTATTATTTTAACTCACGATCGGTACTGCTTGGTATTCGAAGGTTTAACATGTGTTAATATTATGTTAATGGAAAGTAAATAGGTGATGATTATCCAACATTTGTTGCGCATGTTCTCCGACTGATTGGGCAGAATTATCTTAAGTTTTGTTATGAGATAGACGAATAACCTGATTATAAGCGATCATATAGAACACCACTAGATCTTCTAGAACACCCTTCCTTCTTCTAAACATTCCCCGGTGTCACACTAAATACAGACAGAACTCATTCTTTATAAGATGCGCAATGTCCTACAATAATCTGGTCGACTTTTCTGAACTGGACTTGTTCGTTACTAAGCCTCATGTATTCAATCGATTACTTACAAAACATTGGTTCGATTCCATTTACCACTGCAAGAATTAATATTATTGTATTTGCCATAATTCCTAATTACCTCTTTATTCATTTTTTCTCTTTCAAGCGTGTTCTTCATAGATAACCAAATGCGAAAACATGTAATTGGTTATTAGTTGCGTAAATTGTGTTTTTGTTAGCTGTTAATACTGCATGTTTTCCGATGTAAATAAAATAAAATAAAATAAAAATATCTACGGACCATGTGTAACAGTAACAGTGAACATAAACCTATACGATATACCGGGCACACTTTTTATTTTTGGTAAACGATACTAAAGCCTTGTTCAGCGAGTTTTTAGTAGCTCTCTCTCGCTTCGATTTTGGGACATAGGTAAGCGAAAGAAGACTACTAAATATTCGTCACTCGACTAAAATACTAGCGTACCTATTGCGAAAAAATCATAAGTCTTAATAGGTAAATAAATCACTATCAAATTTTCTAAAGGAAAAGGTCAGGCAGATCTTGCAAGATTTGTATTCATTTTAGTTATCAGTACGTATTTCATTTTCTTTTCACAAACACAAATTTTGTTGTTTTCTCTTCTTTTCAAGACACAAACGGGAAACAAATCCAGTTCACAAAGACTTCACTTATGTAATTCAATACATGCATACATACATAACATCACGCCTTTTATCCTCGAAGGGGTAGGCAGAGGTGCACATTATACCACTGTGCAATATAACAGCCACTTTTCACAATTTATGTTATGAGTCCCATGTAATAGGGGGTGAGCCTATTGCCATATACCGGGCACAGTTCCAGACTCCGAGCTACTACCGAGAATTTTGTAATTCAATATTGTACTAGAAATACACGAACACAATCCAGCCAGTTCGAACTCTATAATATCTAAGATGAATATACTTAGAAACGTGAATTATAGCTATGAAGTGCCTAGTATTCTTTACAAAGCGCTATTACATTTTATTCAAATACTAGTACCTACATATCTTTTATGGTAACGCTATTTAAATGTGTAACTATGTAATACTCACCTACATTAATATGAAAAGAAACCTTTTGTTTGTTTGTAAACATTTTATTTATTTTCTGCCATAATCGTCTCACTGCAGGGCAAAGACCTCCTTCCACTATCCTTCTTCCACTCCTCTCCATGTAAAGCTTTTTGTGGCCAATCCTTGTCTTATATGTCCAGTTCGTACCACCATCTCCTTTTGGGCCTGCCGCGACGTCTATTGACGTTAAATGGCCTCACTCAGTAGTAAGTTTTTTTTATGTTTCAACATAAATTTGCCCCACATTAGTATTTTCTCCTGTGTCGTGGGTGCGTTAACAAACATACAAATTCACATACAAAATGATACCCAGACTCGCAACAACAATTTTTGGATCACTCAAAGTGTTGTTCCGTGCGGTAATCGAACCCGCGACACGTTGCATGCACGGCAGCCGGTTGCCCAGCCACCGCACCAACCGTGCAGTCGAATCGAAGTTAATAGTTAAGTTTCCTTAGCAACCAATAGGTAAAATAAAAAGACTGCAGAACCAATTTTAAAAAATATATCTCTCTGCACCCAAGCTAGTATTAATCTTTTATCTCGACACTCTTACGGTATCGGGATTTAATCCTTTTTTTCTAATGGGTGCACTAGTACTGATTTGATCTATGGGAAGAATAGAAGGATGAGTTTAGAAAATGCTGTCAGAGAATTTTTTATTAAGGTTTGAAAATCATTGGATGTCTTCTCCCGCCTGGGTGAGGCGGGAGGGAGTGTCTCTCTCTTACTGACTAAAAACCTCCCCGTTCCTTCTCCTGCACGTCGAGCCGGAGCCCCGGTAACCCTTTAGGTTCTCCGCGACTCCGAATTGGTATCAGCCCTGTTGGGCCCCATCCGTGGTGGTCTGATGGCTCTTTAAGGCGAGCGCGTTGTCAGAGATTAGGAGAGGCCTATTAATGTCCAATAGAAGACGGAAAGGTGCAGATGATGACGATGATGATTAATCCAATTCCAAAAACAGAAATTAGAAGAAAATCAACTGATTTTCATCTGTATTGAATCAAAAGGAACCGAAAACTACTTATGTTGGAGCAAAAACTCTTTTGCGTCACCTCATTTATGAAGTTTATTATTTTAATTTTTTATGTTCCAAATCTGATATTTTTTTTCTGTATCTTTTGTTTTTTCTTCCAATTGAATACATGCGTTCTATCAGTCAACAAATCTTTTTTTTATTCTTTTATTATAACATCTTATCTAAAAGTAATTGAAATTATTATTATTACCGTGGATTCTCAAACAACTTAGATATTTAAATTTTCGTCAGCCTGTCTTTCGATCTGTATGCTTCTACGCGCATTACGTAAAACTGCTTGTTCAAATTCAATGCGATTTTGACACAGTTCACGTCTGAGCATTACTGACTGAACAATCACCTCGTGTCGTCTACATGTGAGGATTTGTTCAATCTCCTAATGAGACACTTGATAGTTTAAAAGGTACGCACGAACGAAGTTGCGGGCAAAAACTAGTTGGTAGGTAATAATAATACACTCATTAACAGTAGGTAATTGGCATAACAATAACAATACATAGTTATTACACGTAAATACAAAATACCTGCGTATTAATATGTAACATAAATAGATAGTAAAACTAATTTAGAAGTGTATGATTGGCGCAGTGGTTAGACAATCAGCTGCTACGTAAAGGGTCACTGGTTTGGTTCTCTCATTATTTTTTCTTTATGAGATAATCTGGTAAACGATGAAACGGATCGCCTGATAGTAAGCAATCGGCGTCGCCCATGGTAACGCACTTGCGTTACGAGCCTTCTGGATTAGGAATTTGAGGATTGTTGGGGATTCAGGGATTGAGGAAAGGGAGGGGGGGGGGGGGGTAATTGGGCCTCGCGTAACCTCACTCACACGATGAAACACAACACAACGTTGCTTCTGTGAGGCCGTGGTATCACTCCGGTCGAGCCGGCCCATTCATGTCAAAGGATGGCTCTCCCACACTTATCATCTTTAAATCGGGGTTGAGGATGAGGTTTATACAAACCCAGTAATACTTTGCCCGACCCGGGAATCGACCCAAGACCCCTTTCCTGGCAGTCGTACTTGCGACCACTCAGCAATGAGACAGTCACACAATTTAAATTAATCCAATACTCATGTCGAAAGCACGTAACGTCGTACGTTTAATGTTTAACGCGTCTCTCTCTACCTACCTGTTCGCTAAATCCAGGCGTGACGTCACGCCCTAGATCGAACAATTAACTAGTACCTACGTAACAATGTTGTCATAGACCTTCCGTCAACAAGACGAGATCACAGGCTGATGTATTTTACGATGGCCATCTGGATTCTGACAGCGATCAATTTGTAGTTCGGTAGTTACCTTAATGTTTACGATGCCATTAATAAATTATTACTGTGAAGTATGCATTCTCTGCGTAATGGAGTGAAAGAGTGAGAGGTGGATTTATTTTTAATGTAAAACATAGTCTGGTGGTATGGTAAGTAAATAAAATAAGTACCGTAGATACCGGAGCCCCGATTACCCGTTAGGTTCTGTAACCTAACAGGTAATCGGGGCTCCGGCTCGACGTACAGGAGAAGGAACGTGGTGGTTTTTAGTCAGTAAGAGTCTGACACTCCCTCTCGCCTCACCCAGGTGGGAGCAGCCATTCGATGATTTTCCTCCCTTAAAAAAAGATACATAACGCACATAAGTATATAGATACAAAGTCGACAACGCATTTGTAACTCTCCTAGTAGGTTGAACCTGATGTTATCATACTCGTTGGAAAGTAGAAATAAGTTAAAATAACTAGTGTGTTACCTAGGAAATAAATTAATAAAATAAAAACGCTAAGAAAACGACGCAACCTAAGAAAATAACTTAACCAGTATATTTTATTAGAGGATGGCGCCATCTATTCTTTTAGGTATGAACTGAAACTTAAGATTGCACCAAGGCCAAGACTACTTTTTATTTCACACTTGGATATAATGTATACGTTTACGTTAATTTACGTAATTGTAAGAATAAAATTTTCGTTACTGGTTAATTCAATAAAAATAAATAATTTCCTTGCATAAACTTTACTAAAATCTCGTAAAAAGGAAAACGATACTTTGACAGATGACTTGTGTTTTGAGTGACACTGACATTACACCTGATGTTTTTTGTACGAGTACGAACTCTCTCGTCTCATCTTGTCTTCGCAAAATATTATTGATTTTCTCCAGCAATAAGATAACAGAACAAAGAAGGCGCCTAGCATGAAACGAGTGTACGTTTATAGAAATAAATTCGAACAAAATGGAAAAGTTATGGCCTTGGAAGACACGATTGAAGCGTTAAAATCACAAATATCGAAACATTTTGAAGACAATTCAGAAAACTTGAGATTGTACTCCACAAATGGCTGTGAAATTGACGACGTGAGAGTAATAAGAGATGAGGAAAAGATTTATCTGAATGTAGACGATGATGCGGAGATGAAAAGTTGTGATAAATTAACAGAATCCGTACATAATATTGATTTGGGCGAGAGTAGCTCACATAGTCAACCTGTGACTGACTGGATCACTTTGAATGTTGGTGGCAAACATTTTACGACGTCTAGGTCCACATTGTTGGCCAAGGAACCCATGTCAATGCTGGCTCGAATGTTTGCAGATGATAACAATGTGTACTTAATGACTCCAAGTGCTACAGACTCAGTTGGAGCATACTTGATAGACAGAAGCCCGGAGTACTTTGAACCTATTCTAAATTATTTAAGACATGGAGATGTGATATTAGATAAGAATGTTAACCCGAAAGGTGTGATGGAAGAGGCTGTGTTTTATGGTATGAAAATTTTCAGTAGTATATTTTCCAAAATTTCAGTAAAATATTTATCAATGAGCATAAATTTTTGCCTTTCTTTCACTATGTATTGGAGCTATGTTATGTTATGATTTTTATGTTATTACCTATTTATTTATTTAAACTGTCAAACACCGCAAGAACACCGGTGACCGCAACCTATTATTCTTTAATTGTGTCTATAATGACGGTACTCAAAGGGTTAATTAAAGATACAGGGTAAGACTTATAAACTTATAAGACTTATAAACTTGTAATGTGATGTCGAACAAAACTATATACAAGTATTTAGTTTGACTGATAGATTAAATCAATTAATTAAATGATAATTCGGAAGCTAAAACTAAGGAATACTGATTTTCTTTTATCGCAAGAGTAAAGACATAGGTAACAACTAGAAAAAATATAATTTTAAATTATTAGCTTTATAGTACTTTACTACAGGAAATACTTAGTATGTTCTGATTATAAAACAATGCCTATGTAAGAGTAGCTATTCTGACTATTCTACCGACTATAGGAAATACCAATGACCATTTATTTATTTACTGTCTTATTAATAATTTCCTCTTCTATATAACTATGGTATAAATTATTTGTTTACATAGGTTGTTTACTTGTTTTGTTTAAAAACCAAGGTTCAAGATCTTTCTTTGACTCTAAAGCAGGTTACATACACACATAATATTTTGCAACACAACATTAAACTATGTTAGAGCACATACACAAACAGAAGATAATATTATAAAACTCAAAACTCTTAGTAAAAATATCGAATTTTGAATCGTAATAACTCATTTCATAATTATGTCATTGTATCTTAATCTTCACACTACTTAAAATAAAGCAGTTTTTTTTAAGGCATAAGCCGGTAAACGAGCATACGGATCACCTGATTGTAAGCAATCGGCGTCGCCCATGGACACCTGGAATACCAAAGGCATTACAAGTGTGTTACAGGCCTTTTGGGGATTAGGAGTTTAAGGATCGTTGGGGATTCAGAAATTGGGGAGATTGGGGAAGGGGAGGGTAATTGGGCCTCCGGTAACCTCACTCACATGACGAAACACGACGCAAGCGTTGTTTCACGTCGGTTTTCTGCTCGGCCGTGCTATCACTCCGATCGAGCCGGCCCATTCGTGCCAAAGCATGGCTCTCCCACACTTAAATCAAACGTATCTTTATATTTAACTATAAAATCCCTCATCCAATTCCAGGTATAGACTCAATGATACCACAACTAAATATGCTGATAGAACAATCACGGAGTGCATGCGGTATCAATCATGCGCTAACTCGCATGGATGTTGTTCGTTCCATTATAATGACTCCAACCACTTGGGAGTTGAGGTTCCAAGGAGTAAACCTGTCCGGAGCTGATCTTAACAGATTGGACCTTAGATATATTAATTTTAAGGTATGTATTGCTTTGTATTTATTAATAGAATAGTTAAAATAATTAGTTAGTTTAATATAAACCTTATTGCATTGCATAGGCCTCATTGATCTACATAACATCACGCCTTTTATCCCCGGAGGGGTAGGCAGAGGTGCACATTATGCCACTGTACAATGTAACACCCATTTTTCACTATTTATGTTATGAGTCCCATGTAATACTCATATGTAATGCCTCATTGATCTACAGATGACTAAAATTACTAAAAGTACAACCCTAGTTTTTTGTGTACAAAAATTATTTAATTAATTAATTAAACTCCAATTTGTGCAATTCTTTCAATGGACCACTGTGGAGTCAACTTACAATGTTGTTACACAATCAACCTTTATTCAAATCTTTTAGCTTAATATTTAAATATTGCCATATTATAACTGTACTATTTTGTATCGTAGTTACAGAAATGACCAATAAGCAACTCAAGATTAATCCATTTCTATAAAAAAAAATATAAAAAAACAATTTTATGTATTCCAGTATGCTTGTTTATCTCGCTGTAATCTGAGCGGCGCTAACTTGTCACACTGCTGTTTGGAGCGCGCAGACTTGTCACATGCAAACCTGGAAGGCGCGCAGCTGTTGGGGGTTAAAGCTTTGTGTGCTAATATGGAAGGTTAGTATTGTAAATGGGATTCAGTATTATGACAACCAGAAAATACTTTAATAAGTTCTTTTACCAGAAATAATATAATTAACACCAAAAACTCATTTTTTAATGGATTTTCCTTTTTTCAATCTGTTGTAAAATATTAAATGGCAAAGGTTTGCATTGATGTTAGTTTTGTTACTCAAACCAATTATTTATTTATTTATATTTATTTATTTGTATTAAACTGTCAAACACCAAGTGGTCACCGGTGACCGCAACCTATTGTTCTTTAATTGTGTCTATAAAACCGGTACTCGACGAGTTAATTACAACGGTTACACCAATGACAGCAATTAATTAATTTGTTATAAGACAGATCTGGACGAAAATGGTACAGAGCTACAATGTAATCTGAATTAACATATAGTTACTGTATCAATATTTTTTAAGGAATTGTGCCCGGTATATTGGCTCACCCCCTATTACATGGCACTCATAACATACATAGTGAACAGTGGGTGTTGCATTGTCCATTTGCATAATGTGTGTGATGTTATTTTATTTTTTATAATAGACAATTCATTTGATTTGTGATAGTATTTATATTTTTGTTTTTCAGGTGCAAATCTAAAAGGTTGCAACATGGAAGATCCTGTTGGATCAAGAGCTGTGATGGAAGGTGTAAACTTAAAAGGTATTTTATAATTATACATGACACCTTCCTGTAGTAGGTTAAGAGAGCAGCCTCTCTGACTGCCTCGTTGGCCGAGTGGTCGCAAGTGCGACTAGGGCAAAAAGTTTCGGGTTCGATTCCCGGGTCGGGCAAGGTATTATTGGGTTTTTTGAAAAAAATCCATTAAGGCCAGGCAATAGGCTCAACCCCTATTACATGGGATTCATAACATAAATAGTGAAAAGTGGATGTTACATTGTAAAAATGGCATTTAATGCTGTAATGTGCACCTCTACCCCCTCGGGGATAAACAGCGTAATGTTACCTTTCTTTTAATCTCTATACCATAGGTACCATCATTTATTGCATTGTAATATCGACTTTTCACCAGTTATTTTGTCAGTCCCATGTAATCCGAGTTAAAACTATTGCCATTCAACGAATACAATTCGAGAGTCCATGCTATTATTATTTCCTCTTACGTTTGTAACCAGTTGAATTATCTCGTCAAGAATAAGAGTAATCCATTTAACATAATTCTTTAATCTGTCACGAGAGTAATAGCACAAAAAAATAATGGATGCATGCAATAATGCTGGAAGAGCCATGCTTCGGCACGAATGGACCGGCTCGACCGTAATGATACCACGGCCTCACAGAAACCGACGTGAAACAATGCTTGCGTTATATTTCGTCGTGTGAGTAAGGTTACTGGAGGCCCAATTATCCCCAGTCTCCCCAATCCCCGATTCCCCCACACTCCTCAAATTCCCAATTCCCAAAAGGCCGGTAACGCACTTGTATTTCAGGTTTCCATGTACCATCAGGTGATCCGTCTACTCGTTTACCATAAAAAATGCATTCATTCATCATTGACAGTCATGATTGTATCGTTTTTTTTAGGCGCCAATTTAGAAGGAAGCAACATGGCGGGCGTCAATTTACGGGTGGCAACATTGAAGAATGCCAACCTACAAAACTGTGATCTCAGGGCTGCCGTGCTCGCCGGGGCTGACTTGGAGGTAAATAAATTAAATACTAGTCTTCGATAAAGTTATATGGTATGATTAACACATTAAATGTCATGGGAGTCACCGCTGACCGACTTTAGCGGAGGATTTCTTTCTTTCTTTCTTTCTTTCTTTCTTTAATCTGGTACCATTGCTATTTACGTGGTCTATTTAGAATAAAGTTTTTAATTTGAATACTTTTCTGTTTTTCAGTGTTGTGACTTGTCAGGCAGTGATCTTCATGAAGCGAATCTCCGTGGTGCCAACTTGAAGGACGCAGCGTTCGAGCTAATGCTTACTCCGCTTCATATGTCCCAAACAATAAGATGATAATTAATTTAATAAAATTAATATATTACGCATTTATTAAACTTAAACCATGTTTATATCTAGTTTTTTTCCACATCCCATCAAATTCAGATTAAAAATAAAAACAAATAAGTAAATCAACTTATCCTATCGGTGACTGGTTACAACGCGAGTGGCCCATGCTTTGTTCTGTGTTCTGTGCTTTGTGGTCACTGACAAAAGAATAAAATATAGGTACCTACATACCATCTGTTGGATGGCAACTGTAGAACCAACAATCTTCCTCTTCAGAAGCGGCTTAGGAATACAGTTCCCAAAAATATTGCCCGTTTCTCGGAAAATGGCCCATAGATCATCAGGGTGCTTACTCTTGAAACCAATGTCAATGTAATTTCAATCCAATAAAATCTCAATAATCATTCAATGTCAACACTATACAACCACAATCGAAGCTGTTAAAATAGCATTCAGAGTACGGAATATAAAGCCAAACTCAATACCATTTAGTTCATTCAATATCCACGCAATACGGATGCAATGGGCGCTAGTGTTGCAACTCGAGAGTACGAAATTTCACAATACCAATGTCGATCGATCGGAATTGGATTCGGGAGTAAGCCCCCATATCTTATTCTTCTATCAGATTCTTATCAAAGAACAGGTACCTACTATTGTTGCTGTCACATCTCAATAATAATATTAAAGTCATAAGTAGTCCTGGTGAATCCATTAGACATATTATTTCTGGTTGTGGTCGTTTGGCTAATAGTGAATATTTGCATAGCCATAATCAGGTAGCTAAGATTTTGTTTGTATTTTTGTATTCTTTAAAAAAAACTTCCCACACTAGGATTTTCTTCTGTGTCGTGGGTGCGTTTGTGGAAACAACAATTAATTGTGGATCACACAAAGAGTTGCTCCGTGCTGGAATCAATCATCCATCAGCAACTCACTTTGCGCTATCGACTTGTTGAGTCTAAGGTACCATACTACGTAACGTAACGTAACGTAAAAAAAACCCATGACGAGAACCCCGTAAAGGTTAAAAAGAAAAACAAATACCTAGATTATCTAGACTTAGCTTACGAGGTAATCGACATGTGGAGTGTGGATTACCCGAGTGTGGACGGCTACCACGGTGCCGATAGTCGTGTCGGCCAATGGGTTAATCCCTAAAAGCCTCGACATCCATCTTAGGATGCTGGTGTTAGATGGATGTATCAAAGGCCTGATACAGAAGGCAGTTCACTTAGAAACGGCACGTATCATGAGGAGGTTTCTGTCTCTGGAGCCCTAACCACAGATTTTTTTATAAGATATCTAATATTTTTTTCTTGTGCAGTATGTAAAAATGTAATGAGGAAATAATAAAAACCATATTTGGATTAGTTTTACTGAAAGGCAATTGGGTGTGCAACTGGTGGATAGTTATTTGAAGGTACATATTTATAATCTTGTTAGATTAATGTGTCCATTGATCGTAGATGTAGGCACCGTACTAAACTCTAAAAGCACATTGATGTTGTGTTGCTTAGATGTGCATGTAGAATTTTTGTTTTATAGCTATGTTATGTGGTAGGTAATTTAATAGTAGCCAGTAGGTACTGTAATATTGTGGTGGTGTGCTCATTTTACTACTATAGTGGAATATTATTTTTATGAAGTTGGCACACCCGTTTATAGAGGTGACCGTTTTGAACAATTTTAGTTGATAATTTTAGTGACAGCTGACAGTCTGGTAATCTGACGTAAACCATAAATATTGTAAAAAAAATCAGTAAATGCACTGATAGAACCAAGTTTACTTGCAGTAGGATTTTTTTATTAATTATATTAATTTCTATAATTATTAGTACAAAACGAATAACAATTACTTTTAGTCGATTAAAAGAACAAAACTTGACTACGATTTAGTAACATTTGCACAACTCTAAATAATTTTTGTTGGCAGGTTGGTTGCATTTGTTTTTTATTCGCGACTTCGCGTTCTATTTTTGTGTGTGACGGTTCCGTCCGGCGGAGAAGGATTTTATTTTGCAAATAATTTTGATGGTTTTCGTTTAGATCATCGAAATCCCTGCAGAAGTTCTCCCGATTGCGGTAAATAATCAAAATGCAGAACGGAGACGGTACGCCAACCGCCGCGGATAACAGTAAGTTTTCCATTTTGTTATAAAAATAATGGAATAACAATCATTATTCCACTGTTTTATTTAATTATTTTAAGAAAATTCCGGTAGAAAATGTTTGAAAACCACGAAAATTACTTTCGAGTATAAAACCGCATGTATTTCGAAATACCCGCAATGAAGCAATAATGAAAACTGCGAAGTTTCTTCGACGCTAATGTTAAAAAATATTGTAGAATCGGATTGCAGATGTAATTTCACTTGCGTTTGAATGTTTCGTGCATCGATTACTGCGATTTGGGTTGTTTCCTCGGCTTGTAATTATTGATACTGTGGGTAGCTTAATTGGAGTGTGAAGCATGACTCACATTCTTCTGGTCTGCCCACCTCTTTTGTAAAAATGCAACTGATTTATTAGGCAGGAGGATTGCGTGGAGTACAATGTACTCTCTATTGACTACGAAACATTAGTGAAAAATGTTAGAAAGTAGATGCACTAACAATTAATATTATATTTAATTAATCCGAGTACCCTCGGATTGTTCATGTGTGAGGTCATTTTAAATTTTCTATTTGCATTGAATCATCAGTTTGAAGGTCTATGTATGCAGGTTGTTGCCTCATCTATCTTTATAGATATGAGTGTACAATTAAGGAATTCTTGATTTTTAATTTTAGAATTTTTTTCAATCTACCTACAAGTTGTAGATTATCGGGGACAATTTTGTAGGTGTGGGCTGTATAGGTCATGGTTGAATTATTTATCAAGTTGTCAGTTTTCCTGATTATTTCGTTATTTCTGAGTATGTTTATCATTAAGTATTTATCTTTGTGTACAAACATGTTATGTTATCATTATGTTAATAGGTGCATGCATCGGTGGATCACAAATTCATTATAATATTCTGGATAAGACAGTTTTGGGTCTTATAATTGAAATTTTCTGAATGTATTTTACTAACTAGTGAATCCCCAAGCAGTCACCAGTGACCGCTCTCCACTAACTTCATTGTAGACCTTATTTCCTATATTTAGAGATTACTTTTATATGAACGAATGTTGTGGATTTTTCATAATCGGACATTTACAAGTTAATGGTTAAAATTCTGCTTAATGTTTACTATGTAACTAGAAAGTATAATAAGATTCTTACATTAAATTACTGGATGTAAGAATTACACAAATAAAATAAAGGAATTTCTACACTTTGTTGCTGTTAAGATTAATGAAACTTTTGTTTTATAACGCTATCTTGAAGCCGACCTACACCGACAAACCAACAACAAAAACGTACATAAGAGAAATTATTATAATCATCAATCGTCATCAATGAGGTGAAGCAAAAGAGTTTGCTAGTACTTTCTTTGATATTTTTTTCTATAATTTTCGTACAAAATTATGATGAATGATGAAGGACGCTCCATGAGTGTTTAATTATTATCATACATTAATTTGATTAATGTGGAAAAATGTTGACTTATCTCAATGTTGAAAATAATTAATTATTAATAATGAAAAATATTTTACACCTGACTCACTCATTCGTAGTATTATGACCACATTTGTTCAAATAAAGAATATACACAGTTTTAGAGTTGAGCCTGTCATGTGTATTTTTAAGAAAGACCATAGATTTAAACATATATGTACTTAACATAATGCCGAAATACTTTTTTAGTACCTGTCTTGCAGTCAGGTAATAAACTTGTTTTTATTTATATATCTATTGTATGAATTTCCGTTCGTTAGTCTCGCTAAAACTCGAGAACGGCTGAATCGATTTGGCTAATTTTGGTCTTGAATTGTTTGTGCAAGTTGAGGGAAAGTTTAAAAAGTCAGAAAAGTAGTGATTCTCAGTAAAGTATTAGAAAGTACTTGTATTTGTATTAAAAAGTAAAGTAAAGTACTTATATTAAAAAGTAATTTGAAGTAAACATTGTATTGTATGTATCTACTTAGTGTGATACAGGTGTTGTGTTTCAACCATGTAATGCTCACCTTGGCTCACCAAGTTGGCCACATGTTTACTGAGCACACAATACGGTCATCAGGCTTACTTTCAATTAATATTTCTTTCGTTCTGATTTTATGTTGGGTCAAAATCCTACTAGTTAATATGATGAATGCGAAGTGTTTGTTTGTTTGTTTGTTACTCCTTCACATCAAAACGGCTGAAGGGATCGGAATGAAACTTGGAACAGGGATGCAGTATAGTCTAGAATAACACATAGGCTACTTTTTATTCCACGGGATCGCGGGTGAAGTCGCCGGCAGAAGCTTTATTCATTTGTCGTAGTCGTAGTACAGCTGTGCATCCTAATAGTATTTTTGTCCTGTTTCGTGGGTGCGTTTACAAACACTGATGATATGACGGAAGCGTTTGCATTGAGTCATCGAGTGTTCAAGAACACAAATGTGCGTCTAGATGTCAAAGTCATAAATGAAGGCCCTCTTAGCCGAGCCATCGGGACAGCCAGTACTACCTAACTCAAGACTTGCGTATGACATTTGAAGATAAAAAAAGTACTGACCTCCTATTAACATGACGTTGCACTCCAAGAAACAAGTACAATGTCTTCATGGTCTTGTGGTCTGCCAAGTCTGTCTCGACTTATCCGCATTACGCCATTTATCGAAATTCTCTCTTCTTCCTCTTTAGCCCTGTAATTGGCTGTAGATTATCTACAAAGAAAAACAAACTAGTCAATTTACCGAACTAGGTAATTGTAATAACCACCATTATTTATTTATTTATCTAAGTTGTATACGATTCCATAAGGAGGACTTACCGCTAACAGCATTCTTAGAACATTGTAAGTCCACTACTCGATCCCACATCACGTGGAATACATACCCATTGACCGTTATTTCCCAAATTCAATAACGGGATCATTCAAATCATCCCATTTTAAATTGTAATCGTAACACGTGGTCTGCTTATAACATTGGCAGTATTTCTACTAAAACCAAGGTCACGATTCCATTTGTTCATGTTCTAAGAGCGGAATGTCCATATCCATTTAAACATTATACCACTTTCTTCCACAATGTTGATCTTTAAAGCTACCCGAACTAAAAACGATATTATAAGAATCAAATTAATTATTATATTTTCGGCTTACGCACGCGTTTGACGAGGAACTCGACTAGTTTCAAGCCATGCTAGAGGCTCATATTCTTGAGCAGCATTGCCCGATCCGCGAATTGGCGACTGTCGCGCTGCTTCTATGAGTCAAACAGTTACGTGATTAAGCCGAAAACATATAATTAATTTAGTATGTATCATTAAAGTTTTAACATAAAGAATCAAATCAATGTGATTGTCCATATTTTCAACATTAGGTATTAACGTCTAAGTAGACCTAAGTCATTGTCCATTTTATCGAATACTTGTCTATAAACCTTTGCAATAACGATATAAGTACCTATTTAACTGCTTACGTATTAACCATCCAAGCAATTTACTGTTTAACAACTCGACGGATAACTTAAGAACTGTTGAACGCAACGGTCATTTACCTTACGTCTAAACATTTATTTTACAAATATACGATTATTTTCGGTTTTTAATAGACCAACTTATCGCTTCGACCTCATTTTGAAATCGTGATTTAATCTTTGAGTCGTGTTGGAAAATTAAATCTTTTCTTGCTATGAATTGTTTTTCCATTTTTGAGATGAGAAAGGCGATTTATGAGTTCGAGCGCTTCTTTAATGTATTGTTGTCTAAGACACGTGTAGTTAGTTATTTTGAAAAGATACACACGTGTGATACTGACTTTTGGTGACTGTAAAGACAAAGGGCCCTTTTTATCATAGAGGCGGAAATTCTAAAAGGGATTAGAGCAGCTTTACGTAAACGCTTTCCTTCCATTACGCGTTTCCATCCAACTCTCACCAAGTCATGTCATCGACACATGTTGCCAACAGAAACATTCCGCCTACGCATTGTCCACTGTCTAAACGAAAAATAAAAAGCAGTTCAACGACCCATAATAAAAACTCATAATAAACTTTCAGCCAAGAAAACGGTGCCGGAGGAGGTTACGAAGCATTCGTTCCGGTTGAAGGTATGGCGTCATTTGGAGTCCAATGGACTGGCGATGTTCCCAAGGCCGGTCTACAACAGGATCCCCAACTTCAAGGGCGCCCCGGAGGCCGCAGCCAAGTTGGCTGAACTGGACGTGTTCAAGAATGCTAGCACCGTGAAAGTCAACCCCGATAAGCCGCAGGAGGCTGTGAGGTTAGTACTTACCTATTTAAGCTAGATTTTTTAATGTAAAGTTTTGCCATGTGTCTTTGTACTCAGAGTTATATTCTAATGTCCTTTATACTTCAAGGTTTTTTTGGTCCTATCGCACAAAATTCAACGTTGGTTCAGTGCCTTTTTATTGAAAATTGGGGATTTAAATATAGGAAGAACGACAATGTATATTATGCCAACCATATTATTTAAAACGTTCAAAAGTGCCTAACAGGTTCAGGAAAGTGATGAAGATGACATCTTTTAAATACCTCCGAACAGCAAAAACCAAACAAATTAACCTGGCTCAACACTATCAAACAGCAATCCCGAATTCAACACACATCTTTGCATAACTCCGTAAAGAATGAATAAAACATTATGTAGGTAACTGTTAATTTCCATGAAAGTGAAGATTAGCTACAAGTTCAAGGTCATCTGATAAAAGCGAGCAGATCCGAGAAAAGATTGCTAAACAATACACATTTAATCGACCTTTCAGATTAGGGACTTTAAAACAGCTTATAATTTATTAGGAAGTGGTACGGACTATGGAGGCTGAAAAAAAAAAAAAAAAAAAAAAAAAAAAAAAAAAAGTAAGTTTAAATGTGCATTTACTTTGGGTAAATGTGAGTGATAGCGTCCTGCTATGTTCGCATACCTATAGCTGCAAATTATCGTGCCTTTAAACCAAGAGGTTGGGCAAAAACCATAGTGCCATCTGCTACGGTCCTTCCGTCCACGTATACGTCTTTGATTTCCTCCATATGTTTTAAAAAAGTAGGAATACATTCTAACAATGACACAGCAATAAAGTTTTGAAACTATCGCGAAGAAAGTTAAGCACGACACAAAATAGAGTACACAACTACATAGCTCGCATTGGTACCTCTTATATCATCCTTTCGTGTAGTTACTGCGTTCCGCGCCGCTGCCTGATTGACGGCTCCTAGCCTAGCATAGCACAAGTCTAGCGAATTTAAAACGTTACCTTTATCATACGTCGTGCACAGTTGATTTCAGTTAGCCGACGAGCACGGGACACATTCCAGAACACATAATACAGGGCTAATTTTAGATTAGCATAGAGGTGTCTCACCGAACCGCCTAAATACTGTAACTGAAAGAATTATAATCACTTTTCCGACGGTTTTACTCTGTCAAATAATAGTAAGAAGAGTTTGGAATAATGTACTCTATAGTAATTTGTTCCCACAATAGAATATTGTGTCTACAAAGAAGTCGATGACCTATAAATTATTTCGAAGGGTTTCGGTGAACTAAAAGAATTGTAGTGTAGTACACAAATGGGGAAAGCTGAAGCTATTATTTTTCTGTTTTCAACATATTTTCACTGCTTATCACACGAGACTGACATAATATTGTCATAATATGAACTAGCAAGTAATTCCTCGAGGGAAGTGGAATCTATCGTTTTTCTTCTCCTTCTATAATATCTTCAGATTTATTTGGTCGCGGGGACCAAGACAGTTATTCTGAGACGGACTTCAGTGTTCCGGTGCTTTCATGGTTGTATTTACTGTAGATCCTGGCTTACAGGAGTTGCAGTGGTTCTGTGACATTGTGGCGGGTTTTACCATAAAAAAGAACTAGCAACCCCCCGGAAATTACAAGGCCATGATGTTCTGTGTTTTCATCAGTGAATTATTGACTTTCAAAAGTGAATCGTCGTCCAACAAACTATAGTTGGTACCACTTTTAGCCCTTTGTCTAATAAATAATTACCATTGAGGGTGCTAAACAATAAAACGACATTATAAGGAAATAGTTGTAAGTTATTTATTGAACAATATTACTATAGAATTATCTCTAAACATTTTTACTAGTTTAGCCATTAACAATAGTGTAATCTTAATGTCTTTTGAATAGGTAATATTTATATTAATTTATTTGTCATTACTTATCGAATGTGCACCAAATGTCTTTCCTATTTCATTTCTCGATATAATTAATGTTGATCAAAGACAAAGCATTTGTTTTAGATAAAAGATATTTGGCTAGTTAATACAGAATGACCTAAAATGAAGGATAGTCTGGCTGATTAAATTTTTGGTTTACATTTTATTATTAGGTATTTGGAAATAAGTATTGAATTTGATGCGGTGAAAAGTAGTAACGACATACGGTGTAGTAAACGTACCTACTGTTTAGAAATTAACTTTTAATTAGACGTTTTTGTTTGTGTTGTTAAATACAATGCAAGTTGGAAACCAGCGACTAGCGAGTCCAAGTACACGTTGATTATTTACGCAACCCATGACCAATATCTTGGGTAACGCATTCCATACTGAATGTTTTATAACTTTCTGCTTTATTACATAAGCCACTAGAACCGCTGAAAATTTATACGTTCTGCTAACTGTAATTTAATATACTTTAATGCGCGTTACTGCATTGCTGTTTGATTTTCACAATTTGCTAAAGAAGTAATGCATATTGTGTTGTTATATAGTACCTAGGTACCTACATGTTATCAATAACATTCTGTCTGTTTTCTTGATTCATGTGGTACAAAGAAAAATGTGAAGTTAACCAATGTTTGCTCTATATTCGGTGGAAAATATACAAGTATGAATTTAACATCCTAGGTACTATTAATTTATTAGATAAGTACAGATCACATACCTGTAGTTCTTATACTATCAAATACAAACGAGATAGCTAAGAGCAGTGGTGTAAATACAGGGTGGTAACTCGGCTAAATGCCACGGAGCCCCAGCCGGAAGGGGGCCCCGTTCAGAGGATCTCATCTGAACTTCTCTTTTTTATGTTGGTAGAGGGGGTTCATCTGATGAATCTGCCACGGGCCTCGAACAACATAAGTGACGCCACTGGCTAACACATGGATTTATTTATTACACAGAATAATTGGTACAAACAGGGAGTCCATTAAATATATTGTTTAATCAGATAACAGCTTGTTATAACATAATTATCAACAAATACATTCCTCGGATAATTATATGACCCTTGCAATCACGGTGATAACTCGTGTCTTATTACATAGTAATATTGCTAACAAGATTTACATTGAATAATAAACATATTGCTATATTTTCTTGCCAAATTGACTGCACTATTGGCGTGCAACCAGACGCTGAACTACATCGCCTCCAATTAAAAGGGATTAGCCGTAATCTTCGCAATGTGCAGGCGTTTTGGAAACCGTTTAAGAGAAGAAACCACTGTTGTTCGGTCTTTGCTAAATGCCTTATGTGTCATAACCCCTAGTTAGCCATCCCCAAGTGTGGAGATGGAGGATGACGATAGAGGACAATACATATATTGTCCTCTATCGTCATCCTCCATCTCCGGTCCCCAAGGCCGACAATGCATTCGTAATTCCTTTGGTGTTGCGGTTTCTTACCATTACCATAAGCCGAGATAACTCGAAAAAAATTAACAAACGCAATAGTCGTTCCTACAATTTTTAAAAGTTTCGGTACCCTGGAATCCCATCATCAGATCCTGAACTAATGGAAATGGGACCACCTCGAGAGTATAATAACCATACAATAAAAAAAAAGAATCATTCAATTCCGTCCACAAAGTAATCGTGTAACAATTAACATACTTAAACACAAAAAAAAAACAACATACCAACGAACTGATAACCACTCAATTTTTGGGAAGTCGGTTAAAAAAATTATTTTATTTAAATAGGCCAGTTTGTATCCCTTCAGAGATTAAAAGATGTGATGTTATATGTATGAATATTAATTTGTTGAACAGTTTACTGAGATTATCGTCAAATTATTATTAATTTAGATTATCTCTACTTATGTACATAAGTAGGTAGTGCTATTATCCCCGTAGTAAATGCGGCTAAGTATAGTTAGTACCTATTGTATGAATTAATGAAGTAATGGAAGCCCTGGTTTTAATTAAAACGTTTTACAACTTTGTACAGACGAAAAAAGTAAAGTTGGGTGATAAATCTGGAAAAAAATAATTACTAAAACAGAAAGATTTCGTGGGTTTTTCTTGGGAAAATGAAAAATACTTTAACACATTGCCACTACTGGATTATGAGGCTTCTCTTCTCTAGGAATATAAAGGGATTTGCCACAAAGTCAAAGTCAAAATCATTTATTTCCATTAGATAGACCAGAAAGGCACTTTTGAATGTCAACAAAAAATTTAAAAGTGAGTAGATTTCCTATGGAGAAGAACGAGCGAGAAACTCCATACTCTCCACAATCGCTACACTTGGCTGGTACTTATTCGGAATGCACTTTAAAAAGTTAAATATTTATTAGAGAGCGCCGAAGTACTGGCTTGCTAGGCTATTCAGTATCTTTAAAGATCGAAGTGAACTCTATAGCGGTCCGCCATGTTAAATATTCTTGACCAATGGGCGAGAATGCGATCAAGCTCACTTTGAAAGTTCGAATTGATAGTTACACAATAGCCTAGCTGGTCTATGTCAAATGGGTGTCTTCAAGGCCCGAGTGAATAGGTTGCTTATGGGACGACGTACTCTATCGTAGACCGCATCATCGCTTACCACCAGGCGAGATAGTGGTCAAACGTCGGCCCACTAATATAAAAAAAATCTCTTTATCGTATGATACTCACTAGAAGAAGAGTAAAAAAAACTTTGCTGATAGATTTTTGGTCACTAGTAATATAAAAGAGTAGCCAATTAACGAAATTAAATTGCAATCAAACTGCAGCGAGCTGATCGGGAGTGAATTAATCGATTTTGAGTATCTATCGAAAAGATAGATATCGTTTATGAAAATCTTTTTGTTCTTTGCTAGATTATTATCGAGTTTTGAAAAAGATTTATATCTTAAACGGATATCTACTATATAAAAAAAATTGGGGGTAAAATAGGGGATGAAAGTTTGTATGAGACAGAACTAGAAATTGGGTGTTTTATGGCATAAGGTCCTGGAATTCCCCAATTCAGTGCGAACGTAAAGAGTAAAAAATTTGTCATTTTAAATTAATGAATGTCATCAAGTATATTCCTGCCCTTATCCAAAGGTACTTAGGGTCAAGGGTACCAAAGGTCTTCAATCTCCCTGCTAATAAATAATTAATTACTTATATTGACTAACTTTCTGTAGATTTCAATGTCCTATCTCAAGACAAAAATCTGTGGATATGGATCGACTTTTGACATTAGAACTGATTGCCTCGTTGGCCGAGTGGTCGCAAGTGCGACTGCCGGGCAAGGGTAATCTCAGTAGTAGCACGGAGTCTGGAATTGTGCCCGGTATAACCTCACCCCCTATTACATGGGACTTATAACATAAATAGTGAAAAGTGGGTGTTACATTTGTACAGTGGCATTAACTGCCGTTAAGTTTGATATTATGTTTTGACATTAGTGCTTATGTGGAATTTCTGTCAAAAATCGATCTTAATCCACAGATTTGAGGTTATTGAAATTAGAGAAAGAAAGATACTTAGTATTTTTTGTTTCACTATCCGTTCAAAGTAATAAATAAACTTCTTGAAGTAATAATGATTTTATAACTATAAATTAATGATTGTTAAACTTACTCAACTACCCGTATCCACTTTCACGTGAATACTAGTCGATTCATTGCGATAAAATTGGTCTGCAATATTTTGTTGTGAAAATTCAGGACATATTGTCATGCTTGTGTTTCCAAGAAAAGCTGAAAGATGTGAATAAAAATGACGTTGAAATGGTATGAAACGACAATATTTTAAGCGCTACACTACTGAACATTTCAAAATCCAATGTCCATTATTTCTTTGTCGATTTACGAGATTAAAGATCGATCGACAGATTATTTCTGAGAGGATCTTATGCCCGCAATTTCTTGGCCAAACCCTTTTTATAAAATTGTTTAATAATTCGTTAACACTAAACTGAATTCCGTTAACATGGTTGAATAGTTGAAGTAATATCGATGCTCCTTGCCTGGCTATTTAAGGCCACCGCTTACTCAATTGGTATTTAGGTGCATCCTGAAACTATATCACTGGTAGTATCGTGATGCTGTTCACGAACATGAATAATCGATAATTAAAATAGTAATTTACACTTTTAAGTAACACAGCAAACAGAAGGAACCGTTTTATGTCTTATAACTTATTATATTAAAGTTCTAATTCCAAAAAATACAATTAAGAATAGGTAAGGAAGCAACTAGGTTCACCTTTATGGCTAAGGCTTGGACAAATACATGGCATCTATACATATATTTGTTGAGAGTTGAGTAAACTTAACAAAGAAAACAAAACCTAGTTTAGTAACCCACTGTAAACTTTACTTCATAATCAATAAACTGCTCTGAAGGTGAAACTGCGCTAAGTTATGTGTGGATCACTGAACACTAAACATACTTAACATCTTGAGGCTCTGTATCGTATATGAATGTGTGTGTGTATATGTAAAGCGTTGGAATGTTTCAACGGCATATTTCAGAGAGCTTAGCTCTAGTATTAACGCTAGGAACTATAAATGTATGTCAATTATGGGAGTTTATAAGTTAATTACACTATTTTCCTGAAGCTATACACTGCCTACTGTCGCGGAGAACCTAACCGGTTACCGGGGCTCCGGCTCGACATGCAGAAGGAACGGGGTGGTTTTTAGTCGGTAAGAGTCTGACACTCCCTCACGCCTCACTCAGGCGGGAACAGACATTCCATGATTTTCCACGCTTAAAAAAAATACACTGCCTAGTGCCTACTGTAGGCTTAGGTGCTTCACGTATTAAATGTCAACCACCTATGAGTCCCGTATTAAAACAAGCAAGTTTACCGTACACCAGGCACCAATACGGACTCTGAATGCAATTAATTTGAAGATTTCCCAAGATGTGCTGCAGTAGACACACACAAATATTAAAAAGGATGCGACATAGGTCGCTACCCTAAATACGCCCTTATTTATAGACAAACCTACTGCTTAATGTCCCACTGGCAACAGATCGCATTATAGAAGTGTTATAAAAAAAAACTAAAATCGGTCCACCCAATATTGCATTTCTTGATTGTATCCAAAGACCTTCTAAATTGCTCAGATGAGGAATACGCTTAATATATTAATAGAACTTATCGCTGGAGCCAGTAATATAAGTACATAGCTCTATTCCTAGTAAGTACGCCGACGACTTTCACTCATATTAAACGATGACACTTGCATAATTCTCCATATATTACGTTCACGCGACGCGAACTAAACGCGAGCATAGTGCACGCATTTTGACCGTAATTGACTCCTTTATTACTTCAGCAATATACTTCTCACAGCTGATTTCAATTGTTTCTTGAAGTTATGTGTTTATTGGGCTATTATCTGGATTATTAAATAACGGTTTTACCTTTATCTCTGCTGATCTTGGAGTGCCAGGAAAATCCTCAGAAGTTGAACTATATAAGTTTTAAGGTTCTTCTGCAACCAATTAAAAAAAGTTTGAAATTATTGCACTCATCCCAGCAAAATCAATAGCAATCAGTCTTTGTGGATTCCACTCTCATAAAAGTCACACGTTAAATACTTCACCGCGAATAGTTTCAATTGTTCGATGCAATTGTTCAGTTAACCTAATTTGTTGTTTTATGTTTAATTTGGCCAGAAGACTAAAAACAAACGTTAACTGCTTGCTTAGTTGGTTTCACAGATCCTGGTAAGAGGTTGATCTCGAATGTCATAAGCACTTCTACATATTTATGATAGTAGGAACAGCTAAACCTAGAAAATATGACATTGAGTCTAACCAGGCAGACAGCACATGTAAAATTCTGCCATTCAGTTATACTATATATACTATAATACTTCGCACTTCGCACGACACAGTAAGAATATTGTTATTCTTAAGACACAATGTCAAAGCTAATTTAACTTACAGTTTACCGGAATGGAGATTTAAGAGAGACACAATATATCCTCTATTGTTTCTCATATTGCAGTCTAGAGGTTAATAGAGAAAAGATCAGAAGAAGGTTAACGTTAACAATTCTCTTTATTTTCAGGGTAATTTGCCTTGAGCAACAGAAGACCCTCTACGTGCCGGTGCCTCGTCTGCAGAAAGGGTTCCTAAACCGGCTGGAGCTGCCTGAAGGAGAGACTGGCCCAGCAGCCATCAGGAAGGCCGTCTCGCGCAACGGAATGGAGTCCTATGGAAAACCTATTGGTAAATATTACACCCAGAGACTTCATTCTGCATAATGCACCTTAAGTTTATAGATCCTTCACATTAATTCCTTGTGACCTTGAAAAACAAATCAGGTTGTAGAAAAATAGTCACTATCTTTAGAAGAACTATTTGCTGATCAGTGACACTCCTTTCTATTCAAGACTGCGTTCCACGTCATACAATCTACGAAACTTTGGCATATATTCTCTTCTCGGAACGATTATGGTACTAGTATGACATCATCAGTAAACAGGTGCGAAGTATCTCTTTTGTTCAGGCTCGACCTTGGAGGAGCAAAAACTGGGCTGTTTATTGGCTCTTTTATCAAAGACGCATTGACTCATAAGTATATTATGTAGTGAATTGTTCAATGAACCGGGCTTATTGATCAATTACGTATATTAATATTGACAACTGGAGACCATGCGGAGAATGAAAACGAAACTGTTTCATTCGCTTCTATTTTGATCTTAGAGACAATTTGTTGTACTTGTAGTACGTTATCCAAGAAAAATTTGATAGTAGAAATAAATTGTGTTCAAAGAAAAGGCGATATTTATAGGTCAACGAAAATAAAAAGCAGCTGTTAGTGTTCCAAAATGACTGCATCTATTCTTACTACACGCCTTTTCTTCGTTGTTTGCCCAAAATTTCTGCCTTACCTATTTAAGAAAATTGGATTTCGATAAAGTCGTGTAACTATATTAAATGCTAGACACCTACCAAAAATCTGGTCTATCCATCTGAGTAAGGACGTTTTCAGACTCACTTTCTAAATCGTGATTCGTGAATGCATTAACAGCAGATTTCATAATGTAACAACCTTGTTAAGTGTAGAAAAACACCCACTACTTAACTGTATATACGTGTGATGTAAAAAACTAAAAGCAAATACGATTTTATACGTTTTTTGCACTTTTAGCGTGGGTCTAACAAATTAAACTTGGCAAAAAATATATGAATACCATTCTTGTACACCCACTAAAATCTAAGAACATTAAGAAAGACATTGGATAATTAAATAGGGAGTCATGATGAAAGCTTTCACTGTTTGTCCCCAGGTTTACTCTTAAAATGAACCTTCCATTTAGCAAAACTAGTAACATCCTTCTAACTCTTAGTGTTGCGGATGTCCAGTCTAACTACGCTGAACACTTACTGACCGCGAGGACATATGGTTTTACTCCCTATTACATGGGACTCATAATAGTGAAAAGTGGGTGTTACACTGTACAGTGGCATTAAGTGCCGTAATGTGCACCTCTGTCTACCCCTTCAGGGATAAAAGGCGCGATTTTATGTTATGTTGAATACGATGGCGACCATCTTGCATGACGTTCTTGGACATTAACTCGTCGAGTACCGGTTTTATAGACACAATTAAAGAACAATAGGTCGTGGTCACCGGTGACCGCTTGGTGTTTGACAGTTTAATAAAGAAGATTAATATAACCAGCCAGCATCAATACGGCCAGTATCGGTTCGCGCACCATGTTGGTTGTATAGGCGCGAACACACATCTGTCTGTTAAACCAGTATGTTTTTTGTTAGGTGTTTGGATTAATGAAAATACTCACGTGATTTTCTCCTCCCGTCTTTAGGCATAGAAGACTCCGTTTCGCTTGATTTGGTCGTAATGGGATCAGTAGCTGTGTCCAAAGAAGGATATCGCATTGGCAAGGGCCGAGGTAAGATGATTCTAAAACTTATTACATAATTATTTATATCTTATTATCATTATCATTTATTATGTCAATTTCAAGAAATATTATTTTTTATTTATTTTTTTAATTATATTATTGATTGGCTTTATATGACCTTTTCCTTTGAAGAATTGTCACCAAAGTCCTTCAAAATTTTATCAAAATACTGGTGACTTATTCGAGGTTACTATTATAAACCATAGGGCAAATAGTTTTTCTATGACCTGTATGATAAATGGTATGTATTGTATAGGCTATGGCGACCTGGAGTTCGGTCTGATGATGCACATGAAAGCCATCAAGCCAAACACACTGGTTGCCACCACTGTGCACGATTGCCAGGTAAAAATAATATAATGGAGAAGTTTATGCTCACTAAACTCACTAAAATCATCAAAGAGTTCTGACAATTTAACACAAAGCCTTTTTAGTCAAGATAAGTAAAAAATACACCATTAACAACTATAAAAAAAAACATGATCGCTAAAACTTCTCCATGTTTTTAATGTGTGTATGTGTGCGTCATTTACGTCTGATTTAGGTACTCACACCGACAAGCGTTCTTATATCTAACCTATTAATGTATTAATTATAATTAATACTTATAGCAATCATATTTTTAACCTTCGTGTGGTGTGCATACATTCAAAATCCTTTGCCTTTTCCATTTTATTCTTACTTTATTAAATAGTAATATACCATTGAAATATTACATTTATTTCATTAGAACACCATATGGTCTTAACTATTGATTTTTTGCTTATTGTGCGACAAGTTTGGCTTCTAGAGATACTTAACTTTGCGAAAGAAATGTTAACAGTTCAAAGTTCATTTTAATATTGACGACGCTGTTTTTTTAGGATGAAAAATCTTACAGACTAAAATCACCCCGTTTCCACTCCTACTTTGAATGGGATCCGCGTAGAAATAGAAATATGAATGATGGATGGAGTTTGTATTAAACAGTATTGTTCTATTTTAGGTGTTCGACACACTGCCGGCAGAATTGTTCGGACCGCATGATGTCCCGATTGATATCATTGTCACACCAACTCAGGTATGTAACTGGCTTTAAAATATCTTTTTCTATGTCAAAATTTGCTCAGGAATGAGTAAATAAACGTGAAGTATCTACAGCATGAGTAAATAAAGTAAAGGTCACACTAACAGACATACCAGTTTATTGTTTGATGTCCAAATGTAATCTTTTTGGTTGATTGGATTACGTAAACGTTTATGTAATAACATTTTTATCTGGTTATTATTTTTTGAACTCGCTAATAAAATACAATGTCAACATTTTTGTATTGTAACTTTTGTGAGACATACTAAATAAACTATTATGTTTTCGGCTTATTCACGTAATAATTTGACGAGAAACGTGAGTAAGCCGAAAATATAATAATTGTATGTCAATATTTATAACGAATAAGTCAAAAAGACACCTTGATCTTTATCTTTTAAAAAATATAGTTTTTTGCTATAATGAAACAAACTAATTTAATTGAAAATGACTGCTTACTCAAGTGAACTAATTGAGAAACGCTCAACTACTTTCAAGTCACAACGGAGCTCTTATTCATGAGAAGCGTGCAATAACGAAAATATTTCTCCCAGGTGATATCAACTCAACGCATGAGCCAGCGACCGGTCGGTATTCTGTGGCATCTATTGTCCAACCGTCGCCTCGAGCTCATGCCCATACTTGGACAACTGCGTGAGATTGAAATGCTGTAAGTTATTACTTGTAATTTCACACTCATTCCTCCGATGAAGCGACCGACTAAGGAACTACGCTATTGACAGACTTTTGTGGGACAATGCCCCCACAACCTCTCAAAATAAGTACTGAAACCATGAAAACATCGAAATACTAAAATCTCAGGGACATAGCTGTCTGAGATCCCGCAATTATATAAATCAAAAGATTATATTATATTATAAGAGGAGAAGAAATAAACGATAATTTCCGCTTCTCTTGGCGAATTAATGAAAGAGACAATGATTTAAGTCAACAACACTCTGCTAAACCTAAATTTTTTAAACTGTGATCTCCATAACATAATGAGTCAACTTGGCGATTAATGAAAACCCTGCTTTTTGAAGGACTTTCTTTTAGTCTTCCTAGTTCCCAACGACTGCCTCATTGGTCGAGTGGTCGCAAGTGCGACTGCCGGGCAAGGGGTCTCGGGTTCGATTCCCGGGTCGGGCAAAGTATTACTGGGTTTTTAAAAATTCTCAGTAGTAGCACGGAGTCTGGAATTGTGCCCGGTATATGGCAATAGGCTCACCCCCTATTACATGGGACTCATAACATAAATAGTGAAAAGTGGGTGTTACATTGTACAGTGGCATAATGTGCACCTCTGCCTACCCCTTCGGGGATAAAAGGCGTGATGTTATGTTATGTTATGTTATGTAGTTCCCAACGTAATTGAAGTCAACACTAAACTATTACTATCTTTTTTGGTTTCTAGTTAACTGTAATGCCATGATAATTCAATTACTATTGTAATACATTACAGTGCAGGACGTGCGTGTCCCCTGAAGGAAGTGGACACAGACGTCGAGGAGCGCGCCGCTCAGCGCCCACGCCGTCTGAGACACCGCACTCGCTCGCACAAGAGCCATAGCGAGGGAGAGGTATTTTATGAAGTATTATATTTAAAAAACAGACAATTACACGGCAGAAACGGGTTGGGAGTCTCCTTTTAAATTAACTCCACTCAAATCTCCACTTTACGGAATACGTCAAATCGAGGGAGTGCAGGGACTTCCAACTTTCTGCATTTTTCAATGACCCAGGGAAATACAGTTAATGATTTCTTGTTTTATCGAACTTATTTATGATATTGCTTGAGGTTGGTGTTTATAGATTCAGATTTTTCCGACTAATATCTACTTTAACAATATCATCTATACATCTTGCATTAGTACCTGTATATTAAAACTCTTCCATCACGTAGGGTAACACAACAGAGGGCGAGGAAGGCAAGGGCGGCGGTAAAGCGCGTCGGTCCACGCGTCGGCGTAACAGTCAAAAGTCTGCCAGCAAGGACAAGGACGAGAAACCACGTCGTCCCAAAAGACAACGTCCTGACATCGACTTTTCTGTTAAGGTAATAAAGATTATATTTATTTATTCATTATCTTTATAAGTTATTACTGTGCACTGCTTGCCATGGGGCTCTGATGTTCAGCTCATTGCTTCTACCTGAAAGCTTGAAAGACGCCCTAGATTTGATCTAACGTGGTCAGTCCAACGATTGACGAGTCTGCTTTCATTTAGTTCTGTTGTTTCAAGTCAATTTACTTGCACGAAATTTGATAGTCATACCTAAAGAATTTCTTTCCAGATTTCTAACATAAGTCCCAATACAAGAGTGCGCGATCTGAAACAGGCGCTTTCTGAACGCGGAGTCAAGCCACAGATCATGGTTTGGAAGGTAAAATGAATACGCATATCGATAAAATTGTCTTTGATGAATATTTATGAACTGTACAACAAGGCTACTTGACTCATTTCAAGAACCTTGATTATGGGCCCCGGTGTGGCTTGAAACTAGACGGGTAGTCTCGTTTAACATTTTTACACAAATTGTATTAGTTGCTAGTTAATTATGATTGGTGTAAGAAAATATATATGGATTGATTTTCAGGGATTCCGTGGCTTCTGTTATCTACACTTCTTCAAGCCAAGCCCACAAAAGGTTAGTCTATTATTCTCGTTTATTCACTATTTATAGGTTTAGAACGTCTTTTAGAACTCGTCATAACACGTGGGTTCTCTGAAAAGTACTTGTATTTATTTCTTAATACACTCCTGTATTGTAGATGTTTTTGTTAAAGAGTTCTCTTGTTCAGTAGTAAAAATCTGTTTTCTTTTAGCTAATGTTGATCTTGTTTTCTACAGGGCGAGGGTGACAGTGGGTCCAGTGTGAGCATGGAGAGCGTGCTGGCGGCGCTGGCGCAGATGTCGCTGGGCGGCAGCGGCGGCGCGGCGGGCGGCGGTGCGGCCGCGGGGGGCGCCGCCGACGAGCCGCGCGACGACAAGCCGCGTCTGCTCTGTGTCGAGCCCGCGCCGCCCAGGCACGAGAAGCCGCAGGCTGAGGTATGTATATGTTGCATTACAGCATAATACTGGGCACTTAAATAAATAAATAAGTAACTGTCGTGAGATATTATTAAATAATGTTTTATGGCTTACTCCTGTAACTGTTTGAGATAACTCGACTAGTTTCAAGACAAGCTAGGCACGCTAGGGGCCCAAGATTGTGAGCAGTATGCGCAATAACTGACACAGCAAGCATTGCAAGACACACCAACTCTTGAAAATTACATTGCTAGTCCTTGCTGGAATATTCAATACCAAGGTTTTTATTAGTAAAATCTACTTAAATTCTGATGCTATTTCGAAAATAACACGATATTTTCTATTTCAGGTTCATTGAATTTCGAAAGCCGATGGACTCCAAAATATATCCCTCGATATTTTGTTAACAACTACCTTATAATTATTTCTAAAACACGCATATATCGTTGATCGCTTGGTTGCACACGGACTGACGGGTTCCCTGTCGCATTCCGACACTAATTTGTTTAACGTTAAGGTACCTTTTTCTTTGCGCCGGCCCCAGTACAATGAAAGGCGGGCGAAGTGCATACTGGCGTCTTAGTTGCATCCGTCACTGCGGGGCAGTAGCCGCAGTGTATCGTCGGGAGTGTATACTTAGTTTTGTCGAGTGCCGAGGCACGGTTCTCTTATGTTGTCTACGCGCAGTATGCAGCGCGCCCGCTAACCGAAGTGGAAGCGAGGAGGTTCGATTTTAGTTTGTGTCGATAGTTCGGACATGTGTTCGCTCGATGGTATTTTGTTCTTATTTGTATGGGCCGGCCTCTAGAGTGAACTATATTTATACACTTAACGGAAATTATATCTTTATGAATGTTTTAGTTGTCTCTAGTCTAAAGTTAGCATGTAATTGAACGTTGTTTCTATAAAATGTTTATGGTTCCGCGTTTTTTTTTCAATGCAGATACGTTTAAGCATTCTTCCATAATTATATTACGAGAAAAGAAGCTATATTTTTAGTATATAGTATAGATTGAACTAAAACTTTAAAGTTTATATTTAATATTGTAAGGTGCTTGTAAGAACGGAGTCCCGAACTTTGTTTAGAAATTAGTTTGGAAGGATTTGATTAGTGTTAAGAGTATTTATTTTATTACGAATTTTGGGGCTCTGTTTTTTATCTAGTTGTATATTTGTGCCAACTTTATTTGAATTCTCTCCAACTTGTTAATAAAATTTCGCGTAATTCAAATCTGTAGGCGGTATCGCAGCATTCGAAATTTGTCTTGAATATAACATTTACATTTAACATATCGGACAGTAAGTTGGTATAAATATTTCCCTCTGTGGATGTCAAAGTTACTTTTTCAGTATTAGGTTATCTGTAATTTAAGACTTGAAAAGTAATATATTATTGACATAATAAGATAATATATTTAAACTATATACTTCTTAGTCTGCGAACTAGTCGTTCGCACCGCATTGGTCTCTCTTAGCGTAAAAGATGTTGTATTTTATATAGAAAGAGGTATTTTATTGATGTATTTTTCGAAATTTTTAGTTTTATCGGGTTGCATAATATTATATGGCTTTGTCGTTTATATTTACTGGCATTTCTCGTTACTGTTAGCGTCTGTCACGTACACGTATCGTGTCGTACGTTGTTATTCCTCACTTTGCAAGTTTAAGCACTACGAAATATATATTTATGTATATAACTTGTTAACACATGCTATTTACTAGTTTATTTTGTAATTTTATAACGTTGGGTAGCAAGCATGGACGAGCGTTTTTTTTTTGTTTTGTATTTTTTTTAATAAATTTATTAAACACTTTATTTTTTGGCTTTTTATTTTTTAGTTTGTGGTGCTAGTTTATTCTTCCTATTACTACGAAACTTTGTGGATCCAGGTAGATTGAGATATGAATATAATTCATTAATAGTCCTTAATATTTAAAAACTTTACTGTTGTGATTGTACTTTAATACATTTCGCCGCTTAGAGGTTGAGGATAAATTAAATTCTATTTTTCTAGCCGATTTACTAGTTTTATTTCGTTAGAAATCTGCAATAATTTGTTTGTATGTGTATATTATAGATATTAGTGCCTAAACATACTCCAATCACGTTCCTAGCGAATTTCAGCAATAGTTAGATAGCTAGTGTACCCAGCAGATATATTTTAAAGTACATAGTACTAAATTAGTTTATTTGTCAATTAAATACAGTACCTGCGAAATCGTGTCTTGTAAACACTAACTATATATAAGTAGCAAGAGATTTTTATGTATTGTTTTTTAATTATCTATCAAATAAACTGGGTCTTACGACCGAAATTGATATCCGGAATAGATTGATGTAGGTTTTTGACCCAAGTTCTATAGAACTTCTCGTAAAACCTAGATCGATCGGTGATCGGTTATTCATTTCGGCCGCAGCAAATCGTTCGTACAAATCTTTAAAACTATTGTTTTATTTATTCAATAGACAACCCTCAAATTATAATTATTTGTACACACGGCTACACATCGAGCTTTATATAACCAGTATAAACTGAACGTTTAAATGTGCGGAAAGATGATGCGACGCGACACTAGGATAAACTGGTTTTGTATAGATTGATGTGTGGCCGCGAGTACTCGACCTTGATTCTCGCCTGATTTGAGGCCTGTTTATGCTATCCCAAACTGTAATGATCTCTTCCTAATATCATCCGAATCCGTTCAGCCATTTTGAAGTTAATAATTGACAAACATACATATCTACATCTTAACTTTTATATTTAAAATAGTAGTATCAGTACCCTAAACAAATTATTGTCGTATAATAACATATTACTATGTGATAAAACTAATAACCATATTTAAATATTGTAAATACTTAACTACGTACATTGCACGATATCATTATAATATTCATCAAATTGACAAGTCGTAACATGTTATTAAACGCTTCCCGTATCAGTTACAAGCAAATAAGAATAAAAATCTATCATATCTGATCGTGCACGCGATTTTGAAAATATATTAAATATAGCGGGAGAACAATAATGATCATTTTGCTACACATTTACGAAGAGCAATCATGTTATTTGTTCCCATTATATTGTTTTCTTTGGTGAGGTTTTGCTGGTGTGATCCGCCTGGCGAAGTGGTGAGTTTCAATTTTGATTATTCTACTTTCAAAAAGTATTTTAAAGGAACTCCTATGGTTAAAGAAATTCACTGAGTAAACCTGGATTTCAAAGTCCTGTGTCTTATACTATGCCTGAGAAAGCTTAGTGCAATCACGCCTTTTCTGACTGTTTTTTTTTAAATATTTGATGGCTTGATATTTGGCCACTATCTCACCTGGTAGTCAGCGATGATGCGGCCTGTGATGAACCACGTTTGCCCATAAGCAACTAATTCACTCGGGGTCTTGATAACACCTAGGTTATACTTTCAGGAATCAGACTAATAAAGAATTCCACTCTTTTGAATGGGAAGCTAAACTAAACTAAAACTTAGCTAAGCTAAGCTAAAACGAAGCGTTTCGTGCGAGTGGGTAGGATATCTTCTTGAAAAGGAGTGACCATTAGCCAGCAGTGGAATAGATTCTTATAATAGTAAACATAATAGTCGCAGTAAACTATGCCTAAATAAGTAATAATTAGTTTCTACTATGTGGAAAAAAAAATTCATCTCCTTCATGCCGCATAGGTTTATAGAATAGACATACATATATACATAACCGGCTGTCTCCCATGGGGGTAGGAAGAGACTATGGAACGCCAATTGCTACGACTTATATTCTTATGTTTATAGAATGTAATAAATTGGAATTTAATAGCATTAAATAGTATTTAACAAACTAATGATGATTTAATTTTCCTAAAGCAATTTGTGGTGAACATGGTCTCCCAATTGGAGAGCTGCGATGAAGTAAGCGAAGCATACGTGGACACTTCTGGAGTAGTTGTAGGCCGGTACAATGAAACCATAGCTTATATGCGTGGCAACGTTAACTTCTTGATGGACGTTGGAGCTAATACTATGGTAAGTTTCCTTGAGTTTTGTTGTAGCATAGAACTTGGGCTGTTTGTTGTTTGGCCCAGTTTGTAACCTAAGTAACACTTCGGAATATAATCCATACAAAAGCTTAGGTTTACAGTAAGTTAATAATGTGCTTACATCTCTAAATGATAAATACACAGGCAGGCTCCAAGCATCAGTCCCCTCATCTTAAAAGACGAACTTCAGATGACATTGAGCTCTTCCGTAAAATTAGTTGATTTTTCTTTCCAGGTAGAAATTACACTATACAAAGAAGCGTCTGGTAAATACGAATTAATGTATTCACACGAGATCTGTGACCTCTGTGCCGAAGTAGCGAAAGGCGAAGATAGTGATTACGTCTCCTATATGAAGTACTTTGGCATACCTGACGAATGTCCTTTTAGTGCGGTACGTATTGCTTATTAGATACGATACATCGTTAAAAGTTCATAAGAGTCCATAGCTGGACTATGAGTAACGTTTCTATTCTATCGTATCATTTTCTGTACAAAATCAGGGCTGGTTTGTCTGATAGGGAACGGCAAAAACATTAATTTTTTGTAAGTGCGTTTTTTGGTTTCATTTTGCACTGTATCTTAGGGTTAGGTGCCATTAATATAACCGAATAGTTGTAGTGACTGAAAGGGCGAGTGAGGCTTTCAGCTCTCTCCTCACCCGCCGTAGAGGCGCCGGCCGTCAACACCGCGAGGTGGTAGCTCATCTGCGACCTCCATAAGAGACGACTGCGGGGGACTGACTAGTGTGGGTCGACTAACTAGTGTGGACGACTATCTAGTGTAGTGTGGACGACTGACTAGTCGTCTGCTGTATGGGCGGGAAGTAAGTTGTCTAAGTCCACTAGGATTCCATTGCGTTATAAAAAAAGAAAAAAAGCGAATAGTGGCAGTGACAATTTTCAATAAAATGACTTCAGAATTTATCAGAACAATTTTTCTTCGAAAATAGGTCTGTATTAAGGGTCCTTTTTTACAGGGCGAGTATCCTATCCTGGAGTTCATAGTGGACACGGACGATTTGCCAGTTAACAGCAACACGGTAGGAAGATACCAGGCTTACTTGAATCTTTACGAAAACATTGAAAAAGATTGCAAGTCTTCGAAAATATTTATGTTCTGTCTCTCTCTTAAGTTAATCATTGAAGCTGATTAGATCGTTGATACAAATACCTATATCAGCTCGGTAAGTGGAATACTAAAATGTTAACTCTAAAATCTCTAAATTATGTTGTATTCTCAAGATTTTGGACTGTAATAAATTGTGACGTCAATTTCTATTGAACTTTTTTTGTGGTTTCTTTTTTTAACCAGCTTCAAAAAGAAACAAGAAGGTTCTCAGTTTGAATATGTATGTATATCTGTTAGCGCGCAATTATTTCGCAATCGTCTGAATCGACTTTAATGCGGGTTTCAGAAAAATGTTTGTTATACATACTTTGCAAAACATTTTAGTATATTAGTTAACCGCCTTCAAAAAGGGGAGTTAAAATCGGATTTTTAAACGTAATTGGTATAAGAATTATTACCGGTTGATCTGAAGAGTAATGGGTTGTTTTTTTTCGTTTGCACCTATTTAAGTATATATTTTTAATGCTCTTTGATTGATGATCTTTAACTAATGGCTTCGCACGAGTGAAATATGCATGTATTATACATATAAACCTTCCTTAAGAATCACTCTATCGCAAAGCGGGTTTTATATAAAAAAACCGCTTCAAAATCCGTTGCGTAGTTTTAAAGATCTAAGCCTACATCGGGACAGACAGACGACGGATAGCGACTTTGTTTTATACTATGTAGTGATTCCAAATTTGATAAGACCTATGGGTGTTTTACGAAATTAAAACCAATACTTATTATTTAACCTTATAATGATTTATTGATCCAACTTTATTCGTTGTCTGGATCGTTAACATTATCGTCTGGACTTGACTCGTATGACGCCGGGTCCTTTTTAAGTTGCCCTCTAACTTGAATCTCCGCTGAACTCCCTCTTTCTTCTGCAGACACTGGTTTCAGACTACTCGTTTCTACTTTCACTTCTGGTACTTCTACTTTTGCTTTGTGCTTCTTAGACTTCGATTTCTTCTTGTGCTTCTCAGTTGTCTCTGTATTTTCATTGTTTTCTTCTTTCTTTACTGCTTTTTCTGTAGTCGCTTTCGCATCTTCTGCCTCTGTTTCCGAACTTGATCCTTCGGCTTTTGGAGTTGTATTATCTGTCTTTGGTTTATCTGTGCTTGGACTCTTGACGTCGTCTCTGAAATAAATATAGGAAGGTGAAACATAAAACTGATATGTATTTATGTTAAATAAATAGGTTCGTATCATATAAATGTGATTTGTACTTAAGTTGTCTCAGAACGTTCTCTTTAGATTCACTGGAAACAAAACAAAATAGTTAGTATCTAGAAGATGTTCCTGATAAACCAATTCATTTCGCCATTTATAATTATTATTTCACCTTTCTCCTGACGACTTGTCATCAGCGGCACTGTAAAGAAAAACGTATAATAAGATAATAATTGTAAGACCTTTACAAAAAAAAATGTAACTTATTAAAAATATTAGCACCTATCCCGTCCGGCAGGAGGTTTCTCATTTCTGGCAATAAATAAATATAAAATTAATACAACATTAAAGTACTTTAAATAATCTTCTACTCCAGCATTCACAATACTTCACCTATTAACAGGGGAATTCATGGAGTCGTCATCGTCACTGAAAGAAATAGTTTATTAGTTGTTAATGCTTCATTTCGTGATACTATATTAATTGAAAATTCTTGATTGTACATCATTTGTATACTTACTCAGCGTTATCCCAAGAAACCGACCACTCTTCATGAGTTATACCTGAACGGAATACTCTTCTACAATTCTCCCTGTAAATAACAACATTGCAATCGATATATTTGTCAATCAAAAGTCGACTCTATTTCATTTTCATTAAGATCATCTCCAAAACACTTACTCAACGTCTTTGTGAATAGCACAAGAAATGAACTGACGATTTCTATAGATGGATGTGTATAAGAAAGGTCCGTGACAGCTGTGACTTTTAGGGTCAATCTTACAAGCTGAAATTACTCCTATAACTCGTTCTTTGCCTTGATATCTCACAATTAGAGGTCCACCATGGTCATTCTGCAAATGAGAATTAAAATTATAATAATCTAGAATTTTGGCATCTACTCTAGCATTCAATTAAAACTACCAAGAACTAATTTTTATTCATCCGAATTATTGTCTATACGTCTATTACCTTTAGTACTTACCTCACAAAAACCTCCTTGCATAGACGATCTCCTCGCCGTGTAATCGTCTGGGTCTCTAAGATGCCTTCCCAAGTCAACGTTGAGAGCTTTCGTAGGAATCTCCGAGTCTAGACGGCGTGATTCCACATCCGTACAATTAGCGTATCTTTTCTACGAATTTGCATGATTGTTTGTAAGGGTTCATAAAAATAAGAAAACAAAGCATATAATATTTTGTACCAAATTGAGGCAATATACTGCTATCATAAATATTTATCTAAATAGAAACTTACATCGCATAATTCACTGAGACGTTTCATGACATCTTTAGTGCAGATCATGTATTGTGTAATAATTTCTCTGAACCTTTGTGCCCATTTCTTCGCGCATTGTTCGTTGTCCATTATGCATACTTTGGCTTCTTGAAGACACTTACTGTTCTTCGGCACATGCTCTTTTTGACGACGGTAGACACCCTTAAAACAGTTATCAGTTAGTTTGAAACTTTTAGGATCAATTACATATTACAATTTTTCCATTACCTCTCTGAAATTGTTACCGCTGCCCCATCCAGCGATCCAACCCTTGGTTCCAGGTTTTTCCATTTCTCTACTGATATTGTTATACATAATGAAATCAGTGCTAAATTCGCATCCTTTTTCTTGAACACCGAACTTGAAGGCTTTATCTACTTTGACTATAGCGATATCGTTAGACGACCACTTGATACTGTCTTGGAAGTCGAATTTGTAGTCTAGAAAATTATTTGAAATATTTAATGATAATATTAACTACTTGCATAAGATATGGAGAGCTGCACAAAATTAAGGTCTACTGACCATTATGCGTCATTTGATGAGGCCACCGGAGGACGAATTACCCCCCCCCCCCTTCTCCAATCCCCGAATCCCCAACAATCCTCAAACTCCTAATCCACAAAACGCCGGTAACGCACTTGTAACACTTCGGGTGTTTCAGGTGTCCATGGACGACGCCGATTGCTTACCATCAGGATATCCGTCTGCTCGTTGACCGGCTTATGCCATTAGGTATAAATGAATGCATGCAACATACAAATGATGATTGGTGTCAAGCAACGTTGCCGTTTCACGGACAAGTTTCATTGTTTTTATTCAAGATGCAAGCATTTTATCGTTAGTAGACCTATTGTAATGTGTAGGTTGCAAATGAAACATCGTGGATATTAAGCCTAATCTTCACATACATTCTCATGTGTAGTTTAAGAGAGTCATTTCAAAAATACTTACTCTTGGGAATACATTTCCATACAACTTTACGCCGATGTTTACAAACGCATTCGTCATTCTTATAATCGAAGCTGTCTACGAATTTAGTGGTGCCGGAGACGATGTAGAATCTGTCGGCGTCTTCAACACAGGCTGCTGAAGTGAGCACGTAGTAGGTATCCACGATCACACCTCCACATAACCAGCCTCTGTACTTATGAGCCTTGGCTGATTCTTTTGTTAGTTGAAGATATACCTGCGTAGTTCAATTTTCTAAATTTTATTCTGTTTGAATGCCTACTATTACTGGTTTTTCTATTATCATCAAATCCCTATTAGAATCCTTTTAATAAACTTTATAGTCTATTATGTCATAACTCTCAGTTTCGCTTACTGCATAATAATTTATTAAAATTTTATTTGTTTTTTCCAAAAGTGAATTTTAAGTTTAATTAATGTCATTGTTTTTTTAAATCTACTTGTTAGAAAACCTGTTTTATCACTTGCCTTTGGCTGTGCCCTTGGTAACAAGAGATTTCAAACATTTGTAAACTTTAGAGAATATATTTTGCTAGCGTGGGAGTGACGATGGCGCGTACCTACTTATTAGTTCAATACCTTATTTACGCGTACTTCAACTTTTAAGAATTTTTGATTACCTACTTAAGTACTCACCATATAAGGTCTTTTTCCCTTCTCGGTTCTCTTACTGAATAGAATTCTTCTAGTATCTACTGTAGTAGTATTTTCGTAGTTCCAACTCTCATCCGCTATTTCATCTACATCATCTACTGATTTATTGGCACTTTTTGAGTGATGTTTCGTGTGATGTGGCTTTGCTGACGTTTCTTCTTTTTTGTCACTGTTTGAATTTGTCAAAACTGATCCTAGAACATCGCAATACCGTTAATTGTCTGTTAGTATAAAAATATAGTTATTCAATAGTGTAAAAGGACCTGTTAGATCTCCTTACCTAAAAGTAGAAAAATCGACACCAGAAGCAGGCAATATTTCGTCATTTTAACTCACGGACCGATCCCAGAAGGATCGAAAAAATTATTTGTTCAATCACAAAATGAAATTGAGGATGTTAATTTTTTGGTCAATCTCCGGAAAGTAACGCTTCGATGAAGTCAATTATCCGCTATCCGGAAGCCATTTAATGTTACGTAGGTACTAAGCAATTAATTTTGTTAAAGTTAATTGAACTGGCAAAAATAATCCATACCTTTTCTGAATAGTTTCTGTAACCAACTTGATTCAAATAAAAATTAGTTTCACGCGAAATAACTTAATATTATTTTTATACTTTCTTAATAATTACTCCACTTTCAATTTAAGTACTTAAAGGTACTATTAATTATACTATACTATTAATATATATACTACAAATAATTAGTCTAAAAAATCAGTTGGCTATGATCTATTCATATTCTAACTATCAAAAGAGAAAGCTATTTATTAACCTAATCGTATAAAATAGACTTTGTCTGATTAGGTTCATTAATTTCATAAAGCTTCTTCTAATCTATCAAGGTAAATAACTAGAACACTAATTATGTCAAATTCATTTTATTAAGTAGCCATTATTATAATTATATCGTAGATTTGTTTGTTTGGTTCGTTGTTTCCGATTCTGTTGTGTCATTGAGCGTTCGTAGGATTAAACCACTTCCTGCGAAAATCTTGTCAGATTTGTTTGATGATTCTGGTTGTTCATGAGCTCTTACGACTGGCATAAATAAAGACGCTGCTGCTGCATCCGCTGCGGCATCAGCTTGCTCTTTCGCCGCTTCTAAAGTTTTCAATTCTTTTAACTTCTCTGGAGACAACTCAGTTTTTGCTGGCCTGTTAACGAATTGAATTTGTTATTAGATAATCGAATCACAATTTAAGACTTTGCCAATAAAAAACTGTTGAAGGCAAATCCTCCGCTAACGCCGGTCACCGGTGACCCCCATGGCGTTTAACGTGTTAAGAGAGATATAATTTGTTTCCAATATTAATAATTACCCGTCTGGGTGATTCACCCATGAGAACACCTTTTCTTCGTGTGTGACACCAGATCTGAACTGTCTGCGGCATTTGGGCCTGTAAAAATGTAACCGATTAGACATGATTTTTTATGATATTAATATATCAATCAATTAATCATGTATTGTAGGAGTATCTCTGTAATATGTGTGATCATCAGTCTTCTACACAAATCCATCAAATCAAAACTATTTTAACTCGTCGAGTACCAGTTTTATAGACACAATTAAAGAACAATAGGTCGCAGTCACCGGTGACCGCTTGGTGTTTGACAGTTTAAGCTGGTATTTGAAATACTTACTCAACATCTTTGTAAATGGCACACGATATAAACTGCCTGTTTTTAAACAAACTTGTGTAAAGGAATGGTCCGTAGCACTTGTTCGTTCTTTCTTTGACAAGGCAAGCAGAGATGACGCCAATGACGATAGAATTCACTCCAGAACCATACACCAGTGGTCCACCATGATCGTTCTAAAAAAACGTTAGCTTATAATTATTAAGTATTCCAAAACATTTTCCAGAAATGGGTTTGACAACAACGGTAATTTATTTAATCATAGATCTCTATTAATTTAAATCATTTACATTAGAGTAGTTTTACCTACTCATTTTTCTAATTGGACATTCATTCTTTCTCGAATAAGTTTTTACTATTGTTGTTATTTGACTAACCTCACAAAATCCTCCATCAACCATTGGTCCCGTTCTTCTGATACTATTATTGGTACCTATAGCTATTGTTTCATTGTGGTACGCTGAATGCATCACGAGATTAGTAGGAACTCTTACTGATTTTGCACCTGTATCACGTCTATTACTTTCGTCTTCGTCCGAGTAGTTAATATCCTGACAATCTACATATTTCTCCTGTAAAGTTAAAAAAATATTACAGATGCAGCAGACAATATCTTCGAAAAATTTACCGTATTTGTTGCAGATTATGGTTGGATTTCTAACAAACAAAGACATAATTACATTACAGATCTCAGACATGGTCTGTCCAATGTCTTTGGTGCAAATCATGTAGTTGTCGATGATGTTATGGTATCGGGAGCCCCAGCGCCGTTTGCATCTATTTTTGGGTATGATTTCGACGTGTGCTTCTAGCAAGTTCTGTTGGTTGTCTTTTCTTCTATTAACCCACTGTAAATATATAAGAATATGAGGTTTAATGAGATTAATGGCTATAAGGATTTCTGGTTAATTTGTATCCATAAGATATCTGTATACATAGTAATTTTCAAAAAATGAAGAAAGTTCTCAGTTTGACCTGTATGTATGTTTATGTATGTGATTGTCTCGCGATTGGCTGAACCAGTTTTGATGCGGTTTTCAGAAAAGTGTTTATTACATTTCAGAGAAGGGTTTAGTGTATTAACCGACTTCAAAAAAGAGTGGGTTGAAGACGGTTTTTATTTGTAGTTTATACAAAAATTATAGTACTAGTCAACACCTTATTTAAAATTTCTATAAACCGTCAACGCGTAAAAATGTTAAGCTATATTTATCAACCTATGTTATCTGTAACTTGTGTCGTTTCCAATTGGAATTTAGCTTACTATTCTCTGATCAAAAATGTATCGTTCTTTACAAGCGAAGTAGATACAAATGTACTGCGCTTGCCAATCGAATCGTAGTCTACCATGAAACATAGAAGTCATAGTCAATCAATTCATTGTGAGTCTGACAATTTCATTATAAAATCAAAACCAAACTCATCTTCATTTTTAACTTATTATACTCACTCACATCATTATATCTAGCTGTCGTACCCCATCCAGCTAAAGAGACGACTGTTCCAGGATTCTCCAAAGTTTGACTTTGATTGTTATAACAAACTGGTTTAGGTATAAAATCGCAACCTCGAATTCTTCTAGTGAAGTCGAATCCATCTTCTATCTTGACTACGGCTATATCGTTGTTCATCCATCTGATATTATCATTCTCGTGACCATCGAATACATAGTCTGAAATATTGTAAAAAGAAAGTAATACCGTTACACTTTCTGCTTTGAGTTGTAATATGCCCTTTTACAGACTTATAGGATAACTTTATGCATCATTGCACATTTTTACAAATGTTTATCCTTTCTCTTCGCTTCTTTGGCAAACAAGTCTCAAAAACGATCTTATCGACTATACTGCCAGTGTCGAGTCGTGACGGCAGTTTAATGAACCGTCGAAATTAACATTGTGGTAGTTTTTTGGTATTGAATCTATTTTCTGACATTGACAATCTCTTGACTCTAGTTATTAAAATAGCCACAGCATACAATTTCAATTCGTCGTTGTATGTTAGTCGCTGATTTGATTTGAACAACTTACTTTTGGGTACACACTTCCAAATAGCTTTTTTTGCTCCATTTTTAATACATGGATTGTTATATCTATCATCCTCATCGTCATATCTGTAAGGTAAGATTTATTTTCTTATATGTAGGTCATTTATTATAATGGCTTCTGCTTGCTAGTTTTATCCAAAACCTTAACCAACTTACTTGTACGTCCCTGATACTATATAGAAATGTTCGGCGTCTTCAATGCACGCTGCGGACGTTAAAATATATTCTTCATGGATTATGACGCCACCGCACAACCACGTTTTGTAATTCGGTTGTTTTACATTGGTCCGAGGTAGTTTAAGATACACCTGAGGCAAAAAATAGTCCATAATATGGTAAGTTGTATTTTAAAGTTAATTATTATTCGTCAAGGAGTGAAGATCTGAAGACCGACCAGAAGTGCCAAATACATTGCCGTCATCAGTACTTGATTTTGCTGCTAATTGAAAATCCATAGGTATATGCTCCAAAAATTTTACTAATATTATAAATCCGAAAGTGAGTTTGTTTGTTTGTTTGTTCCGCTTTCACGCCGTAACTAATAAACTGATTGCTTTGAAATTTTGCAGACGTAAAGTTAGAAGTCCGGATTAAATAATAGGGTACTTTTATCCCGGAAAAAATTGATATTCCCGAGGGAAAACAAAAGAATTGGTATAGATGGCGCTATCTGTATTGGTATATGTCACATGTGCTACTTTTTATCCTTTTGTGACGCGAGCGAAGCTGCGGGTAAAAGCTAGTAATTCCATAAAGAATAGGTTTAGTGTCTATTCTTACCATATACGGTCTGTTATCTGTAACTTCTTGTCCATTAATAATTCTTCGGGTATCATTTATCATACTTCGTATTTCTGCTTCCGTTGGTGTGTGTGGTGTTGCTCCTTGACTCTTCACATCTGAAATAGGGAATATAATTCCACTTAGCATTATAACGTGGTCTTATTCGTCACCATATGGCAAATTACGTCGTATAATAATACTAATTGTTCGTTAGAAATTGATGATGAATGTATACACGCATTCAAGTTACCTCACAAATATTTATTAGGTTTATCGTCGAACTTAGCCCTTTAAGCGCTTAGTTAAATATCGTGTCAATATCGATCGTGTCCTACAAATCGAAGAAACAAATATATACAGTAAATAAAGAGGAACAATTGTGTTCATAGAAGGAAACAATCCTGCTTGTTCTGTAGATGAAATACGACTCAAGCGGTAGGGACACGTAAATATGTACTCAAAAAGTCTTAATGACTCAAGAAGCAAAAGACTACTTCGAGTCGATTTTTCCAACGCCGCGCCATTCAGACAAATTTTACTTTGAATATTTAACAATTCTTCCATACTAAAAACTGTCAAATGTAATTTTATTCTACAGTTAATGATTAAGTGATGATTGAAAAATCGACCCTTAATGAACAAAACAAAACAACAGAATAATACATTACCTACGACCATTAGAATCGCCAGGAACATACATATCATAAACTTCATTGTGGAAAGAACAAATCAGAACAATCGGCTGCATTGAAATTAAAAGGTTTCTATAAAAAAACTAATTTCACGCAACATAGAAATAATTTTAATTCAAAACATGGTTATGGAAGTGATATCCGAGGAGCTACCTGATGATGATGTTTGGTTCTGAGAGTGGACTTGTAGAAGCTAGATAAAAAGGAAAGAAACAGTAAATCAAATATTCAGATTTTATTATATAGATACCTACTGAAAGAAAGATATCACAGCCGCATGCAAATTGTAGAAATTACTAATTTCATTTGAAAATGTATTCTGGTCTGGTCAAATTTCTTATTCCGACTGATAAGTATCGTAGATGTTTTGAGCTACTTAGTAAAATTTCTGAATAACTGGATCAGTCTTTTGCTCTTCGGAACGCTGCTGAACGGAACTGTAGACTTACATTCAATTGAAAAGACGTACTTGATTGTTGCACTTGTACGAATTTGGCCGCGTTGAAAATATGATCTTTTATAGGTTAGTTTCAGCCTTGGAATATTATATTTTATTTGACAACTTCCCAGGTTGGGCAATTCACCCACCTGTGGGATGTCTTTATGTGCATCGACTTGTCAGAATGTCTTCTGCAATCCTAGATATGCTTTCTATACAAATCGAGATACTTATGCCCACTGTTCAAATCTACCCCTCAATGCTACGCGATGGAATACAATGCAGTGTGCCTAAGAATTTTATTTCTTGGTAGGATGTGCAGTTTTACAAATTAAGACTCATACACACTGAAAAATAATAGATTTTATTCTAATGTATTGAGTTTACATAAAAATCGTTATTTATCTACTTAGGGCCGATTTTTCCAACGCAAGATATAGGTATTTTCACTGAGGAATAACGTTGAATATTTGACTTAATTTTCTTCCGTACTAAGAACTGTCAAATATCAAATTTATTCTACAGTTAAAAATTAAGTGTTGATTGAAAATAGCTCTTTAATTATTTGTATTGTTGAACATTAATGTATTGTACTGTTTGTTTGCTTTTGTTTTTCTTTCTCATCGAATCTTGTGACATTACCACTCCGTTCCTTGACTTCATCTGTCGTAACGTTTGATGGAGTCGATGTTGTTGTATTAGTAGCTTGGTTGGCTTCAAATTGACGTCTTCGCTCTTCTTCTTTAGCCTTTTTCACTTCATTTTTCGCTGGCCTGTTAAATGACATTTTATAATTGACTTAATATCATCACGAACATTTATAATGGTATTGTTAGTCAAAACTTGGGTCTAACCAAGAATGTGGTGGCATGGGTTTACGGGCTCTTTCGGATGGAAGTCGGTCTATGTAATATAATGATATTCAGAACAGGGTTAAGGCTTAGTGCTGACACCAACCTAGTAAGACAATTTAAATAGCTTAAAATTATTTTGGCGAAAAAGTACTTTTGCCACATAAATGAACTCTAATGGCTGTTTCCATCAACGACCCCTAAACCATCTTCTAATTAAGAGGTACTTAGCATAAAGGGGCACGTCAACAAACCCTTTACCATTACCATTAGATGTCAATTATAGGTCAGAGAAAACTAAAAAGTCGTTGGCTATCTTAGTCACATTTTAGCTTAAGGGTTCCTTAAAATTTAAGAGAGATTGGTATAAACGGGCATAAAATATGAAATGCTTGAATAATTACCCATCAGGATGATCAGCCCAACTCAAATGAGTTTCTATATGCGTTCCTCCTGATCGGAATAGCTTCTCACACGAAGATCTGTAAAAATCATTAGGGATGAACCTATTTCACTTCAAGACGTAAATGTGAGTGGAAGACGTGTTCAAAGAAAGCGTGTAATCAATAATCAAGAACAAATGATTAATATCTAATTTCTTCCGATTATTTGAAACAAGACTTACTGTGCCTCTTTAAATATAGCGCAATTGATGAGGACCCTGTTCTTGTAGACGCTGGTGTACAGAAAGGGACCATAGCACTTGTTCGTATTTTCTTTGACCAGACAAGCGGAAATAATGCCTATGACCATCGCGTTTGCAGAGTTACCGGCTACTAAAGGACCACCATGATCATTCTGAAAAAAAAACGCAATAAAGAATTTGAATTTGAATTTGAACCAAACAACAAAATGAGATGAAAACAGTGCTACATGAAGCAGCGTGAGGGAAACAAACATGAGCCGTATCTTTGGCTTTGTTAAAAATGTTAGCTAAATTACTAATACTCTAGTATTCAAACATCTAATTGTAGTTCCTTTACGAAATTAAAAGTACTATATTAACAACTGATCAAATTATCGCCTGATTCTATTTGTTTAAGTGTTTCATTCCCATTGACGCGTGAGTTGCGTCAATTCCTATGGCAAACAAATACATTTTCTTTTAAGAATGTTCAAGTGCTAAAACGATTTGTTTAATTTCTTAATATAAACCATCATTTAGTAAATTTTATACTTTTTTTGTAATATACCTCGCAAAACCCTCCACTGCCAATAACCTGTCTTCTTGTAGATTCGTTGTGGTACGCTGAATGTAATACCAATTCATTTGGATTGAGCACTCGTCTTTTGTCAGTTTCATCTGAATCTGAGTACTGTACGTCTGTGCAATCCACGTACTTCTCCTGCAAACAAAATTATTTTAATAATGTTAAACCATAAGATCTTAAAGATTTTGTTATGATATCTAAAATACTTGTCAAAGGGTCCGAGGCTTGCTTGTTTATTTCGACCCTAGCTCATCATAGTATAGTCAGGTAGGCCGTAGAAAGGGCAGTACGGATATTAGACGACAAACAACCTTCGCTTCATAAAGCTACATACATATCCATTAATGCGGAGAGAGCATTATATACGTACAATCAGTAATCAAAAATGCTAATTGCATATATTGCGGCTATAGCGACTAGGCGGCTTACAACTGACAATTGCTTGAATCTTGCTTAAAAACAATGAAAACTGCCAACTGCTGAACACAAAGCGGCAACGTTGTGTCAATCACTACTCATTTAAATCCGCTCATCATAATTTCTAGGTTGCATGCATTCGTCAAATGACGCGTCGTGGACAGTAGGCCTATATCACGTATATAAATGTAGATACATGTGTGTGTACTAACCGCGCATACTTCAGAAAGATCCGGAATTATATCTTTGGAGCAGATCATGTAATTGTCTATAATGTTATGGTACCGCTTTCCCCATCGCTTCTTACACTGGTTTTTAGAGATTATAGTTACTGGTGTTTCTAGAAGATTTTGCTTTTCACTCTCAGAACCCTGATTCTGTAAAAATTTGGTTGAAAAAATGCATGATAGTCAAATCTTTAATAACAAAGTAATTGTTATTTTTTATTATGCTGTAGGTAGATGGCGCACCAAAAAATATTATGTTACAATTCTTCGATTTTCTTTTTTGCCAACATATTTCGGATCGACGACAGGAACATCGACTGGTTTATCTTAAACTTTTATATGTAATAAAGTATCTTCTTTACTTACATCACTGTACTTAGATGTACTACCCCAGCCAGCGATACTGGCCGTATTGCCCGCTTCTTCCAATTTGGCACTTTGGTTGTTGTAACAAATGGGCTTAGGTGTATAGTCACATCCTCTTACTCGGCGGGTAAAGTCGAATTCATCCTCAACTCTTACAATTGCAATGTCATTGTTCATCCACCTTATATTGTCATTTTCATGACCATCGAATACATAATCTGGGATCAAAATAGTTTTGTTAACGCTAAGAAAATGTGAATTATGTCTTTATTAAACGAAACAAGATTGGTACGCTTTTAGCTACCAGCTATAATGCATTTTTTAGAATTTGTAATAAATGTACTTACTTCGAGGAATACATTTCCAAATGGCTTTTTTGGCTCCATTTTTTATGCAAGGGTTAGAAAAACGGTCATCGCTGGCGTCATGTCTAGTAGAATAAAAATGTATTAAAGATCAAAAAATACATCAAAATGTAAATCGATAAAGGGTAATAATACTGCAATTATACTTGTAAGTGCCAGATACGATGTAGAAGTGTTTGGCATCCTCGATGCAGGCGGCGGATGTGAGAACGTACTCTTCATGGATGATAACCCCACCACAGAGCCACCGTCTATAGTCTTTATACTTAGGATTGTTTGTGGGCAACTTCAAGTATACCTGGAGGAAGCATCACGAATGTTATTTAAAACATGTTGTTTGAAGTACAAGACTAAAAAATATATATCTGGACTTTTAATAATGTTATTTTATTAACGTCTTAATTAAATAAAATTACTGAGGAGATTAGACTTGACCTACCATAACACATGTATTGTAGTTAATAATTTGAATAAGCCAAAGCTTTTGTCTGTTTGTGTAACCTATCTACAGTATCTTCTTGTTCAAATCACGTGCATGAGTATCAAATTCAACATATTTACTTACCATATAAGGTCTATTGTTCAAAGCTTCAGTTCCAACAACAATTCTCCTTGAATTATTAAGAATATCTTTGATTTCTGATACGTTAGTCTTCTTCAATATATCTGTTACCTTTCTAGGAATTGTTGTGGCCACTTCTATTGATGACACACCTGGAACAGTATTCGATTGTGGATCTTAATCAGTTTCATTAACTACTAATTTTGTTTATATTGTTATTGTTTGTTAAATCCTTTGGTATTAATCGGAAGCATTTGTAAATTGAACTGATACAATTAATTACAGCTCTACTTACCTAAAGCGTAACAAATTGTGCTGATGATATAAAACGCATTTCTAGAATGAAAAGTTGTCATTGCGATTAATTTTCTAAAAAGAGTCTTGTAACCAAATAGCGGTGTTATTAAAATTCTTGCTTTAACAATTTCACGGTGTTCTGTTTCGTTGATTGTTTACATTTTAATTTTGAAGTTTCCTGCTTTGTAAATTCAAATATCTGATTGAAAAACTTGACAGACATTGGCAATGAATCTTTTAAGGAATCAGTTTTGAACACAATCATTAACGTTGTTATCCATGACTTGGTTGTTATAGTAATTGTGTTATATGATTTCATTGGCATTTAATAAAATTATACTTTTGCTTTTAATTATAGAATCTTAAGGCTTCGGAGGTAATACACTTGGTACGCCTCTGGTGTTGCGAGTGTCCATTGATGGCGCTTATTGCTTACCGTTCGTATCGTTTAACCTTAGTACCTTTTCACACGTTATACAAATTACGCCGGTACGTGTGAAAGGTACAGTATATGCCCATACACTGCGCCGCCGGGTAATCGGCACTGGATACCGGAACGTGTGTATAGGCACTTAGGTGGAAGAGGTGCCGATGATAGACCACGAGGTCTGGTGGATTATGTGTGTTAGGTATCAGTGTATTTACTATAGGCCATTGCGACATATCCGCTGTACCTTATTAGTTATAATTATTTTGTCGCATTGGATAGAACTGGATCGTAAGATATTAATATATTTTACTACATTTTAATGGAGTAAAAGACAAACACATAGCTGACAGGTTTATAATGAATGATAGTGATGATGATTAGATCGTATCTTCTCATAACCATACGAGTAATAAACTACAAATAAGAACTTTATTGTTTAAATCCTAAGGTATATTATCTAAGTGGCGACAGAATCAGTTGTATTAGTTTTTTTTGCGGCTTTTGCTCTTGCGGCTGATCTTGTTACTTGCTTTCGGTATTCGGGATCTGTATCATCAGTACGAATTTTGTGCGTTGAGTCATCGTCTTTGGCTGGGCTGGAAAAGTAATTTGTAAATGTTTAATTGTTTTTGTGCCTGTAAAGGGCATCCTCTGGGCACGGAGTCTGAAATGTACCCGGTATACGGCAATAGGCTCACCCCCTATTACATGGGACTCATAAACTAAATAGTGAAAAGAGTGGGTGTTATACTGTACATTGGCATTAAGTGCCATAGAGTGCACGTAATGTTATGTATGTTGTGTATGTAATGGGCATCTTCCCTTCAGTTCCTATCAATAAAACGCCGACAAAGCCCTTGTAACTCCTCTGGTTTTACGGGTGTCTAAAGGTGGCGTCAATTACTTTGTTCGTTCTGTTTGCTACAGGTTTTATTGTGTTGTTAGTCATAAAATTCACACAATAGTGTTAGTCACAAAATTAGGATTGTGATTAAGTTTAACATAACATCTCGCCTTTTTATCCCCAAATGGGTAGGCCGAGGCATTTAATGCTACTGCATGAGTGCACCCATTGGCCCATGTAATAGGAGGTGAGCCTATTGCCATTACATACATCGGACACAATTGTAGACTCCGTGTTACTACTGATATATTTTAAAAAACTCCAGTAATACTTTTCCCGATCTGATTGAAACCTAGGGAACCTGTAACCTAGGGAGTTTCTTGCTCGTTCTTCTCCATAGGAATCTACACTTTGAAACGAGTAAACAGCTTCACTAGAGGACTGACCTATAGACTGTCATTTTTTAAATGTTTTGTGTTGACGTTCAAAAGTGCCTTCCTGGTCTAATTGAAATAAATGATTTTGACTTTAGCTTTTACAGCTGTTTACCAAAAAATTTGATGTCGGGTTTGAATTTATTACTAATATTAATAAGATTTTTAAGAATGCTTACCCATCTACGTGGTTGCTCCAATCAAAATTGGTTTCAATCATAGGAGTTTTCGAAGACCGTAGCAATCTTTTGCATGTAGGTCTGTGATGAAAAGACATAATTTGTTAGTGAGTTTAGTTCTACTAAAACATAATTTATTTGGTGATTTTACTTGTTTTACAAAGTAAGGAGTAGATGGCTAATTTTAACGTGTAAATAAATATACAAAACATACCCAAGATCCTTGTCAATAGCGCAAGTGATGAGATTCCTATAGCGGTACACGCTGGTGAAGAGGAAAGGTCCGTAGCATTTTCTGGTAATGTCCTTTGTGAGGCAAGCAGACATGACTCCGATTACCACGGAACTCTTTCCCTGCCCGATGATCAGGGGTCCTCCGTGATCATTCTAGCACATAAGTATGAGAATATTATTTTGGATGGTTAGATAGATCAAGCGGTAATGGAAGAAATACGCTTGGATACATACGTTCCCAATTTCTGATATCAAAAAAAAAATCAAAAAAATGTTTATTTCGTTATTACACGTTAATACAAAGTTACACAGTTGGTGGCGTCCCCTTTTAAGCATATAAATGCCTGTACCAGGAGGCGCCGCCCTTTTATATCATACAAGTGTAAAACGTTACAATAGTGAAAATTAATAATTGAAAGTCTAGTTATATCATAAGTCTGTTGGTGTGTGTTCGTGTGTGACTATGTGTGTGAGAGTGTGCGTGCGTGTGTGCTTGTGTGCGGGTGTATGTGTTTTTGTGAGTGAAAGGGTGTGTGCAAGGTTGTATTACATGCAACTAGGTTTTTGTAAATAGGAACAGCCTGATATAGGTATGTTTTTTATATATTTTTTGAGCTGACGTTTGGCAACTTTCTCGCCTGGTGGTAAGCGATGATTCAGTCTATGATGGAGCACGTCCGCCCATAAGCAACTTATTCACTCGGGCCTTGAAGACACCCACGTCTCGAAGGCCCGAGTGAATTGCGAGTTTCTGTGAATTCTTTGCCAGAAATCGAGGATTCTGGCAAATAATTCCAATCCTTAGCACACTCCTCACAAAATAACTTGATGCGAAGCGCTTCGTGCGTGTGGGTGGGACATCCGCCGTGAATCGGTGACGCTTCGTCTTTAATACATATGTTTAAGATCTGTATTAATCTATGTATTAGGTTTTTAAACATAAAGTTAATTGAAAATAACGGTTAATACTCACTCAAATGGACTTTTCTAGGCATTTTAGGTGAGAAACCGTTATTTAGTTTTTATTTCACGATAGTCATTATACAACAAAGGAAGTTGTATAATCCTACTCCAGTTGATGAAACTGTTACATAAGCGTACCTCACAAAATCCTCCAGTTATAATTTTATGGGATCTTCTAGTATCAAGAAAATGTCGTCCTGTGTGAATCTCTAGTTGACTCGGCTCTATCATCATACGTCTCCTGGCTTTGGATGGTTCTTCATCATAATCTTTAGTCTCATCGTCACTGTAAACCAATTCTTTGCAATTGACTTCGCGTTCCTAGAAATAAATACATTTTGTTTGATGACTTGAACTCTCATTAACAAATTCACGTAGGAGAACCATGCGGCAGGAATGAGACCTTGTATTGTGAACCTGATTGAAAAAGTCACCTATTAAATTTCTACTTATAGGAATCTACACTTGGGATCGAGCTTCACTAGAGGACTGAGCGACAGACTGACATTTTAAATATTTTTATGTATGTTTGATGTTCAAAAGTGCCGTGCTGGTCGAATTACAAAGGAATCATTTTGACTTTGGAGTACAGCGAGAAGTGAAACAGCGCGCATCAAATTCGTGGATGTAATTATTTGGTGCTAGATAATTTTTACCATTGCGTTTCGGGAGCGTTGCGTTATACCCTGTATAAGTATGATGTTGATTTTTATACTGACCGAGCACACATTGCCCATGTTATCATCATCAGTGCTGTCCCTCGTACAGATCATATGCTCGTCTATGATGAAGTGGTACCGACGTTCCCAGCGCCGCTTGCAGTTCTTCTTGGAGACCAACTGTACGTCTGTCTCCAACAACTCTGGAGAATTTATTGTGTGTCGAACCTGTGGATGGGGAACTGATTTATTTTTGTTTTAGAAGTACCTATAGGCTTAAAAGTGTTAAGCGTACATACGTTATGCATATTACAGCTAACGAAAGAGGAAAGGTAAAGAGCGCCCTAGACGGACATATACTGACCAAATTGGCGATATATTAAAGAATCCAAATTAAAAGTACCATTAACCGACGAGCATGCATGAAAAGACTGATGACAGTTGATGAAGCGAAAGAAGTATGTAAGGATCGTAGCAATTAGCGTTCCATAGACTATGCGAGACAGGCGTGAAGTTATGTTACCTCTACATATTTCATAAATGCTATTTAGTTTATCAAAAATTTTAATTCGTAGGGCTATGTGTAGTTAGTAGATCTAGTTATTGGCTGTCGCTAATAGTGGTAACTTAATAAAAAATATTTAATAATTAAACTTTAGGACTGCCATATTAAATTCTAGTGAACAGATACACGAACACATTGAATTAATATTTGTTAGTAATATAATTCTTCAGAAATACTCACAGACTGTTGAAAATCTTCCTGGAATGCAATAAGTTGTTCTTTTTATTATTGTAAACGTTCAAATAAGAATAGAAGGTGATCGTCGAGTGTGCAGAAAGACCATACAAAGCGGTACTATGACAAACTGGTTATGTATAGCTCGATTTGTAACCATGTGTATAAATAAATTGATCGTACTTAAACTGATAGTAATGTGGTGGCCCGGAGCTTTAACACGCCCACTTCTCAGGCATGACGGTACCGGTTCCAAACCTACCAACGGCTAATACCAATGTGACTTTTTCCGAGTTATACGTACTTTCTAATATTATTTAGATACCACTGACAAACGGTGAAGGAAAGCATAGTAAGGAAACCTGGAGTTATAATTTCTAATTATAAGTTTGAAATCGCCAACCCGTATTGAGCGAGGGTGGTGATTAATGCTCAAACCTTCTCCATGTGAGAAGAGGCTTTGAACAGCAGTGGGCATTTATGGGCTGTTGATGATGATGATAAAACTGATGGGTAGCGTTTCTCATACAATGTCGTAGGTATGCGATTGATTTTTTATGTTTAAACAGTGCATAGCGTAGCTTTAAGGCATAATTTGGCGGTACTTGATCTCAACGCAATGTTGTGGTAAACTGAGTAATGTATATATTTTTTAAGTTAAACCATTTTAATGGTCTCTATGACACCAATCAAGCCCTTTCGTTTGATATCCATAATGAAGGTATTAAAAAATAGATTATAATATTGTATGCTTATCAAGAGTATATACCAAATATCAAATCGATCTCTCGTCGGAAAGGTGGTAATGTTCTAATTACCTTGGACCCAAACAAAACAACGGAGTTAGCTAAATAAACCGTTTACATACTAACATCTCCAAACCGCTCAGTGGTACCCCATCCAGCGATTGTACCGACTTGATGTGCTTTCTCGTATTCAGCTGATCGATTGTTAAAGTCCACTTTCTTTGGTATAAAGTCGCAGCCACGGATTCTTCTCTCAAAGTTGAAATTATCTTCAACCTTCACGACAGCAATGTCGCCGACCATCCAGCGAATGTTGTCGTAATCATTGCCATCGAAGTAGTAAGCTAAAAAGCGAAAGGTCAATGATTGACTTTGCAAACCTAAATGGAGTTCTAAATGGGCCTGTAATGAAACCTAAAAGGTCTTTTCCCAGTTGTACAGTCTCGTTTTGTACCTTTAAGTTTAATTCATTCTGTCTCCTGCAGTAATTCAAATTGGAAACTATTGATTCTTTTTTTCATCTCCTCTTACTTCCTTCTGATTTATTTCGTTACAGAACCAAGACAGTTATTCATGTCCCTTGGACGCGCTGAGCTTCAGGGTTTCGGTGTTTCTATGATTGTATCTATTGTACCCAGAACCTGGCTTACAGGAGTTGCAGCGGTTTCGGGAGGTAGTGGCGGGGAAATTAAGCACTTAAAAACATTAAAAGAACCTAAACGCACCAATTTAAGCATTACCCTTTTTTTAAGGGGGGAAAATCATCGAATAACTGCTCCCGCTTGGGTGAGGCGGGAGGGAGTATCAGACTCGTACTGACTAAAAACCACCCCGTTCCTTCTCCTGCACGTCGAGCCGGAGCCCCGGTTACCCGTTAGGTTCTCCGCGACTCCGAATCGGCATCGGCCCTCTTGGGCCCCATTTGTGGTTGTTTAGGTTCATTTTTGTATTACATTAGTAGAAGTAAGCTTTTCTAATCGAGGAATAGCAGCTGAAGTCGATGCAATGCAAAACAACATCTACTTACATTTCGGAACACACTTCCAAATAGCTTTCTTTGCACCGTTCATAATGCATTCGTTGTTTTTCTCTTGAAATGGATACCAACTAGGATGTTAAAAATCTATTAATAAAACTTATGACACACCGTGCAATTTATCTTTTAAAGCATTTGTATGCTTAATTAATAACTAAATATGGGTTATAATTAATATTTTTATTTTTATAGATATTATGTTGTTACTAGGAGTTACCTAGCTAAGGCGCCTTCTATACAAGGTGTAGTTTTGAAACGTTGGCATTTCTCGGGGGCATGTCACAGAAGTTATAAAGGTTCAATGTAAGAGTATTTCAGAATAATAAATAAATAATAATAAAATAATAAAACTTTATTCATAATAACAAAACCGCAAAATTAAAAAATATATCTAAATTACGTACAATTGACCTCAAATAGTTAGATGCCTGCACTAGGACAATCCTGTATCGCAGGCGAAAGGAGGTCTAAATATAATTTTTACAATAGCACATCTTATTTCTATAAACACAAATATTTATCAGAATGCAATAGAAATCAATATATAATGATTATTTTAATATATATACATTCAAACATACTTACATACAAAACATAACCTCATTAAGAATATTTCGTAATATTCGACAGTATTTCAGATTAAGCAACAGCCATGTTTCTTATTGGAGTTTTATGGAATTAGGAATAATATCAATTACGTGTTTGAGTTTGTGTGTGTTGAGCCGCGAAATAAAGCTACTTACAATACGGCGGCGTGTAGTTCTCACTTACGGATTTCCGTAGTTTACAGAAAATTTAAAAATATTTACCTACAATTTTTTTTATTGATTCGGACTCAGAATCTATAGCCGAGTTACCTCCTAGAAAATGACGCGGCTTTAAAACAACACCTTGTATTGGTTTGATCTTTCTTTCTTTCTCCTGGTCTTTTTCCAATTAGTTTCGGTCACTGAGTCTGAGTTTAAATTGAAGTACTTTGAGGACAGTCTACTGCTGAACATAGGCGTCCCTCAAAGACTTCCAGATAGGCCTATGTTCAGCATTGGACATCCTGTGGCTGATATGCTGATGATGGTGATGAAGGACAGTCTGCCATTATGCCCAATAAGGGTGGTTTATTGTTTCTTGGTAAGATCCATTGCCAGATTTAGAAAAATCAGATTAGTTATAGGTAACATCTTATCATAGCCTGTTTGTATAAAATGCCATATAGGATCTTGAACTTAATCAATATTTGCTTAAAGTTTAGTTTTACCTGTATAATCCAGCCACGACGTAGAAATGCTTAGCGTCCTCAATACATGCAGCTGATGTGAGAATGTATCTCTCGTGGATGATCACTCCACCACAGAGCCAGTTTGTCTCCAAGATTTTTGGATCCGCAGCCGCTGCTGGTCTTAAGTAAACCTAGAAGATAATATTGTTTCCATGGACGTTGAAGAAAAGGTGCACAATCTCTTAAAACAACGACTGTGGCACCTGGCTACTATAGACTTACACACAGACATAATATAAAATCACGCCTTTTATCCCCGAAGGGGTAGGCAGAGGTGCACATTATACCACTGTACAATGTAACACCCACTTTTCACTATTTATGTTATGAGTCCCATGTAATAGGTGGTGAGCCTATTGCCATATACCGGGCACAATTCCAGACTCCGTGCTACTACTGAGAATATTTTAAAACCCAGTAATACTTTGCCCGACCCGGGAATCGAACTTACACACAGGACATACACACATTGACAAGAAGGACATCTGTGATTCTCTTACGTAAGTCCGGTATGGTCATTCGTGATAACCTATTATACACGCACACATAAATAAACCACTGACATTTCGGTGCTTCAATCATTTCTAAGTGACATTATATCTGCCTTTTTTTAACGTCCTTGATTGTTTCACATCAACATGTTTAATAGGATGGAAGATACACGAAAATATTCAAGTTTGAATGATAATAGGTGGTAGGTAATCTTACTGTCAAAACTGTGTACATTTCTTTAATTTGAATTTCGAAATAGAAAAATGCAAATGAATGGCAAGTGATTCACAGTGTTGACAAAGAATATCACTTCATACATGTAATATCACGCCTTTTATTCAATCAAGCATATGCATACAATGCAAGAACCCCTTTTTCATCAGTTATAATAAGACTCATGGATTCTCATGAAACGGATGGGTTTATGTCCAATGACAACACTTAATCAAAAACACCTAGGTGTACCATATATGGCCTGGTGTCTCCAACGGGTCGTCCTCGTAATATCCTCCTAGTTGGCAGTCTTGTGTCATTGATTCCCGGAAGTGGAGTAAAGCTTTCTATAGGATCTGCAATCAATCCATTAATGAGATTGTGTTTAATTACTTAAATGTACTTTTATTCTTCTTATTTCTTCCACCGGTGAGGAGTGAGGCGAGAGGGAGTGTCAGACTCTTACTTACTAAAAACCACCTCATTCCTACTCCTGCTCATCGGTGAGCCCTAGCAACCCGTTAGGTTCTCCGCGGCTCCGTACCAATTGATACCGATACCGATCGGTTGATACCAATTTAAATGAGTTTGCCACCATATTTAGATGGTGTCCAGTAGGGCGGATGACCCCATATAAATAAGACGGCAAACGAGCAGACAGATCATCTATTATAATGGTAAACAATCAGCGCCACCCATAGATGCTCGCAATATAAGTTCAATAAGGGCTGAACCTCAATGGTTCAATGTTACCTAAATCAAATTTGGCGTCAATGAAATAGTAATTAATCATTACAATAGTCGAAATTGAAATTTTTTTACAACATTTTACTGGTTAAAACTAGTTTAAGTCTTGGACTTACTTGCAGTTACCATAGTCGTGACGCACACCAATATGTTAATAACAAACAACATTTTATAAATAAAACAATTTGCCTAAATTACATAGTAATTGTTTATTTTTTAATTTGTATAACTTCGTTGCAACAATGTAGATACACGTCTTCATAGACTTCGGTAAGGCAAGGGTAAGCGCACATTAGGCGACTGAAACTACTACCTACTACAACAAGTAGTTGCTGAGAGTTTGAAACAAAAATTAATTTAAGGCTTCTTTAGTTGAGTGGATAGACACTTACTCTAGTGGGAAGTATCCCACTACACTAAGTAGTTTATAGTAATAAACACTACAGTAAAAACAATAAATTAAAAACAAACAAACTTTTTGAATCTTTCAGTATAATGTGACTTACAAACACACAGAAGCGAGAAGAGGTGTTTAGAGGAGACATCGAATTTAGCTGAGAAAGAAAAAATTGCTGCTTTATTAAAAGATAAAACCTGTGCTTGGCACAAAGACATCCTCGACTTCAAAATCGGTTTGTATATGTTGGTAACACTTATAATAAATAAATAAAACTCACAACAATCGTTGTTGCCGGCAACTTGATAGTGATCGCCTACTGTGCGCCGCATCTAAACGAGTTTTAATAACATGCCTGATTGATTTTATTGAATTTTATCATATGGGAAATGAGTAAAGCAAAGTATTTGACTTTGATACTTTTCCTTGAATCTTGCACTGATGTAGCGTTGAGCAGTTGACATTTACTCAGTATACTTACTCAGGCTCAGGCTATGTTTTCATCAATGAAATTGTTTAGCATGAGTGATGCTACATATAAAATTTATTTTTCTATCTTTATATTAGTTAATATATTTTTATATTTCGAAGATAATTTTGTAAATTTTAGCAGGGATTTATTGGTATTGAGAATTGCGACTTTCTTTTTTTATAACTGCACAAAGTATCATAAAATTAACATACATAATAGGTACCTACTTGAATGTGTATTTAATCTAAATCATCACAAAATACGTTAATCTTATATAAATAAATCCTTGATTCTGAAATGAAATTCCTTGTTTAGTTAGCTTAGCATTTTTGCTGGCTGTCTTAGCATTTTTGCTACTCGCCGCAAGATGGCTCTGCACAAAATTGTGTTTGTTTCATTTTCTATTCACCACTAGATGGCGTTGTATTATGATTCCTTTAATGTTTACACTCGTAGTATTTGTAATAACTTCCAAATAAAGAAGAAACATCACAAGTTGGTAAATTAACTGTTTATTAGGATTAAATAACGTAAAACTGTTCTTGTGTTTTGTGTTGCTGTTTGCTGAGGGAAAGCAATTAAGTACCTACTTTCCTTTACCAAAAAATAATTATTACGATTGTTCAATACAATAAAAAATAAAAAATAATCAGACTTTCATTAATTGATTTTATAACCAACTTAATGTTAGTTTATTAGTGTAGTGTAGTATTTACTAACATTATTTTTCCAGCAATTTTTTAAGAATAAAGTAAGCTGTTAGGCGCTAAATACCTAAACATGACGTGACAACACACAATTTCGTATAAAATTCATAGAACACTGTCGTTTTTGACAGTTCGAAAAAAGTATTGAATATGACAAGTACCCATTGCCACAATCGTGATTATCCATTTTAATATATATAAAATATACATATATTTTACCGATATTGTATGTCTTCGTTACGTCTATCAAACTAGCAAAAGTAAAGATTTTCAAATTCGATGATTAGGTAGGTCCTGAACAATATTATTGGGATTTTCAGTAGGTACTTAGGTATTTAATACTTTTCAGTTGTCAGTAAAGTACTTCCAGGGCCTTTAACTAAACGCCACTTTAGCGCTTTAGTTTAGTTTTTAAAAAAATAAAAATAAAATAATTTAATTTTCTATTCTACATGTAGACAAGCGCTAAATGGTGTTTTGGCTACAGCTGCTGGTTTCAAATAGAGCGCCTTATAAAGCACTTGTTTATTAAAAACGGCTCGTAACATATCAGACAAAATTACTATTGAATATTTACACTTCTGATAATTGCTGATGAAAAATGTGATGAAAAATAGGTAAATTTATCTGTCATTGAGAAGAAAAAATAGGCTAGTTGCACTGACGGCTAATCGAAAGAAGCACTAAAATGCCAATGAATTAAAAAAATATCTAATTTAAACAATAAATAATCGTAAAAATTTCGTGAGACGTATCTACTAAATTAATTACAATGTTTTGGCTTACTCACGCAACTATTTGACGAGGTATTCGACTAGTTTCAAGCCATGCTAGAGGCTCATATTTATGAGCAGCATTCCCGACTCACCGTGTCGCGGATCGCAAAAGTTTTCTCTGCTAATGTAAAAGTTTTAAGACTTATTATTTGAATTGCTTTCTTGTATCATCATCATCATCATCATCAACAGCCTTTAAGCGGCCACTGCTAACCTTTCTCACACTGATACGGTTTGAGCATTAATCACCACGCTTGCTCAAAGCCGGTTAGCGATTTCAAACTTATAATTAGAAATTTCAAGCCTGGATTTCCTCACAATGTTTTCCTTCACCGTTTTGTCAGTGGTGTCTAGATAATCTTAGAAAATATATGTAACTCGGAAAAGTCACATTGATACTTGCCGTTGGTAGGTTTTGAACCGGCACTCTCATTAGAAGCGGGCGTCATAAACCTCCGGGCCACCATGGCATTTTAATTTTTTCTTGTATATTTTTTCTTTTTATCTGGTAGTTAACCCCGCTCCAGTAGCGCGGTGCTCCTCTGGATGAACTACCACTCATAGCTGGAGGTACTTGCAAATCAACATATGAGTTCCCGATCAATAATGAAAAGCGGTATGTGGACCTATGTTGATGGACCTTCTGTCAGTTCTTCGCATTGTAGTTATTACAGAAATAATTATTAATATCTTTTTAATAACAAACTTTATCGCAGACTGGTATTTATGGTCATACAAACTAAATTAAAAAGTAAATATACAAAATTTTAGCTCAATCGGTTGAAAATATCGCGTTCAAAATTAAGAAACGAGACATTACTTCACACGTACACAAAGCACCGCTAATTAGTTGCAGCGCTACACATCGACACAACTGTCATTTACACAGTGTACATGTGTGCGTAATTTCATATAACTGTATATAAAAATATTCGTCCACCACGTTCACATTGGTATTTTCATTCTTGTGTCGGTATACGTATTTTTATAATTTAATGCATAGGTAAGGTTAAAACTATTTACAATCATTGATATGACCCGACATTTTCACTGCCATTATCGTAGTGCTCGTGGTCGATTGGTTAATGAGCACGCTTTTATCGTCTTTCAAGGATCAATGATGTGGGTTCTATTCCAGCTAAAAGTTAATTTTATTTTACCTTGTTATTTTTCTTATTTTTTTTTTTTGTTTTTTGTCATAAAATATAAATATCAGGCTATAAAAGAAGCAAATGAGTTGGTAAATAAAACAATACTATTTTTTATTACAATTAATTTATTTATTATACAAATATGTTGTTTTATATTCAATATTTATATCTAATAATTAATTATATACCACATGTTAAGTTTAAAGTTCTTTAAATTCATAATTAATAGATATGACAATAAACCTCATAGTCGAATCGGGAAATATCATGCGGTACAGCGGTAATACGATGGCAGCAACATTTTTTATTAAGTAGGTAATAAACAAATATACAACATTCTTGTTTTGTAATTTAATAATATAATGTATTATTAAATTACAGTTTTACAGTAATAAACAAGTAAAACATGTAAAAAATTACTGTAAAATATTTCTTGAAATGGGCGACTTTTTGTCGTTTGAACTTCCATTAATTATCTATTTTACGACGGTTGTTATAAGGTTCAATATTCAGTGGGCTGTATGATAGTAAAAAGAATGTGACGAATGCTATGGAACGATTTTAACTTTCATGACCTTTAGAATCAGGGAAACTTTAAATTAATTGAAGATGGGCGTAAATATAATATGTCAATCAAGTTCGAAAGCAGTTAAATAAATTTGTTAATGAAAAATTAAAGTGAAGTGAATAAACATGTTGAATAGAAAGAAATTATGACAATTTCTAACCACAAAACAATAACATCACTTCACCGTATGTTCTAGACAGCATTTTAATATTCTTAAAAAAATTAAACATTATTTTATGTTAATTTTAATAAAGGCAGAGTTTGACAGGCTCAATAATTGATTCCGAAATCAATACAATCACTGATCCTACAAGGCAGAAGGTTGCAATTCGTATACCTTTCTCCATCTTTTCTTCACAATATTTTACGCCCATCCTTATCCGACTTGAAAGTCTTTTCGTCGCTCAATATGATTACACTGTTCGCCCAATCAAAATTAATAAAGTCCTTAGCAAATTCTTAGCGCTTTTGCTGGTGAACCACAGATAACAATATTTTCTTCTCTGGCTTCCTGCACCTTAAACCAGAATGCAGGTGTCTCCGTACAGTTTGTATTAAAACATTCAGTGCTGTCGCTGTAGTGCGGGTTGGCAGGAACGGATCAGCCATGTGCCTGGCTACGATGTCGTAGTGCCGAGCCGATGAATTTGCCTTTGGTTTAGGCCCACGTCGACGATGTTTAACGTCACCGGTCTCCGCATATCTGTGCACCCATAACTGCATGGATCTCCTCTGTTGATACCAAACAAATAAGTATTTAAAATACCAGGAAATACTTTACAGGAATTAAAGTTACTTAAAAATAATAATAAATATAAGTAAACACAATGTTAGAATAATAATTTATAATTAAGTAGTGGCGTAAGGAATAAAAATCCCTAACCAGATATGTTTTAAAGAAACACTCCTAACAAAAACAAGTCAAGTTACAATACAATTAATAATAAATTATTAATATATCTTTATAATATTGAACTTCATAATAAGTTGCAATAATTATTTTATTCTAGTGCAAAAATTGATAGGTGTGTCGAGTTACAAAATGAAATAAATATTATTTAGAATATCAACGTAGTATCTTATTTACTCACCGATATCATTAAACGCCTTGCTATTTCAGTTATTGTTAGTTATGTTTTGCTCATGCAAAACAATGGTTTCAGCCTTTTTAAATGTTGATAGGTGTTGGAACATCTTGTAAAAATAAAAATAACTTTGCACACGAATATAAGTAGTGTAGCAATAAACTATGAAATCCTCATAAATTGACAACTAAGAACGCAATTATTTTGTAAGTCGGGTGATTTGAAAAACATGTTTTAAATAGTCGGTAGTTACTTCATAAGCGTGTAAAATAAAATGACTCGAGATTTCTATGGTCGCCACAAACATTGCAAATATACTCAGGTATCGAACCATTAAGAAATCACAGTTAATTACTTTTTTACTGTTTTTATCTTATTTAAGTTGGTTGAAATGCATGAAGCAAATGAGATTATTCTAAATAATAAATAACTAGAACTAAAATATAAATAAAAGATATTATAGGTATAAATAAATCTAAAGTATTTACTATTAAAATTAACATAAGATTTAGAACAATAGGAAAGGAAAAAAAAGAAAAGATTTAATTGTTTCTAATTTCAAATTTCAAATATTTGATAAATTAATTCTAAAACAACATGTGAATGTTGGAATCGATCCGGCGGCACTTTACTTGACAATTGGAGGCGATAACCATTGCGCCAAGCGCGCTGTAGATGAGATCATCGAAATATTTTATATCATTCAGTAACATAAAATTACAATGAGAAAGCACTATATTTATATGGGTATTGTATAGCTCGATCGTTCATTATTTTTGATTTCGATTTATTCAAAGTTTGTTATGAGTAATTTTATCTTTACCCTCGTTTTTATTTAAACTTATTTACTAAATTATTGCGTATACCGACACAAAAATGATTTTTAAATACCAAGATGTGTGTGATAGACGATTGTTTCTATACATATCTATTGATATGAAATTACCCACACATGTATATTGTGTAAATGATAGTTGTGTCGATGTGTAGCGCCGCTAACTAATTAACGGTGCTTTGTGTACATAAATACATACCTTACATCGCAAGTTAAGTAAAAGCTTATCAAAATGAAAACGTGTACCTATTTTTATTTTTAGAAAAGGTAGGTTCATTTTATTGTCATGGTAGAACGAACTGGAACTACCAATTATGTGACTTTATTAAAGTTACGTAAGACATCCGATTTGAATAGAATACCACGGCTATTAATTTAAAAACTTAATGTTATGTGTAGGTAACTAGGTACTAAGCATAGATATTAGTATTTTCCGTACGAAATATCAAAATAGTTTGTGTTGGTTAAGCTAACACTTATTTATTTATTTATTTATCAAGGACAACAAACAGCAGTATATAAAATATAACACGAATGAATAAAATAATAGATTTAACAAATACCTTCCTCACGACGTTGCCACAGATTACCATAAATCTTCTCAGCAATAACAATGGGGACAAAACTTACATCAAGACTTGAACTTAGAACCACCCTTAGTTATGTATATGAAATAAATCTAAAATAAAATAAAAGTTATCTTATTGTGAAAAATTAAGACTGAAGCGCTTAAAAACCAGTTAATGGGATAAGTATCATGGGAAGTTATTTGTGGTTTCTGTTTCGGCGTTCGACTGAGTTTCTTAAAAACTTATATGATTTTTCGGTATTAATATTAAGAAAAAAATAGTATTATCACAATAAGGCTGGAGCTATTTGAAATAAACATTAAATAGGTTATTAAGTTGATTTATATACGAAATATTTATGAAATAATAAAGATGATTAAAAGTGGAATACCGCAAGGGTTGATCATAGGACCAGCGTAAGTGAATTTAACTTGTTATGCTTAATAAATAGGTTAGATCTAGCAATACCTAAATATAAATTTTAAAACTAACAAAAAGTAACTTTTCTTTTCCTAACTTTTTTCTTTATCATTTCATGCCCACCATGCAGCAGACGATATTACAAGCATGAGGTAAGTAAGTACATTTTTTTAAGGGGGGAAAATCATCAAATGACTGCTCCCGTCTGGGTGTGGCGAGAGGGAGTGTCAGACTCTTACTGACTAAAAACCACCCTGTTCCTTTTCCTGCACGTCGAGAGGTTATTATTTTTTTTAGTGAAACGTAATGATCGTATACATTAAATTAATGGACCTGCATAATTGTTAAACTAACAATAATCGTCGAATATAAACCCACAGAACGTAAACTGAATCACGATTCTATTATCCAAAAATAATTTTAATCTTAACCATCTCCACTGAAAAAGCGGGAACGCTCAAACATTTATGACATTGCAAATTCAATATACATTCTATTACGTCATACCTTTTACCGTGATCAGCCTTTACAGCAAAAGGAATAAGAATTCTCGTATCATACAAAACCATAATCTAACACCCTTTACCACTCCAACTGTCGAATACAATACAATAAAGTAGCTATCTTCAGCAATACATTATCCTTACTTATCTATGGCCATAACATGAAACTTGGGATCTATTTTATTATAAAGTGCATTGTCTACTATAGAGGAGGTCGGTCGACCGCCGAACGTAAATAATTTAACTGTCTTAAAAGATTCAAAAATAGTTTCCTAACATTGCCCCCCTTAATATGTACACCATTTGTCAGGCCATAACTGGATTTAAACGACGCGTTACAAGAAAAAGGCCACGCCCTCTGACAGACATATACGCCGCCTACTCTAACGCATTCAAAGGCTTCGGCAAAGTTTCTTGCTGTCTCTATCGCACGAATATTCTTGGTCGTATTTACCTTGTTACAAGACCACTAAAAATGTGCCAAACACCATCACGCTTTGCAATATTTTAAACTCTATAGAGAAAGACATAGAGTCGAAGTTGCTTTGTTAATTTCATCATGGGGGGACTCAATTGAAGCGAGACGAGCCACGAAAGGGACGCAGCGAATCGTTCTGTTTAAGTTAGTGAGTCCAAACGAGTTTTTATGTTTGGAAATCGTATTAAGCTTTTGTTGGAAACTGTTCCACTCAACGGGCATAGTTGAGGCGTTTGTGCGGTCAAACTATCGCGTTTGAATTTCGAAAAGCGGTGGGGATACTGCTGATTGGCTCGTTTTGGCCGATACACTGTGTAACGATTCGGTAGCGTGCGGTCGAGCGTAGCGCGCCAACTGAGCTTTTTTCAAATAAGAAACTCGAGTTCGTATGTTCCATTCTTATTTCGGATTTCATATCGCATTGATCTATTGGTGTTTATAAAAAAAAAATGTTTTGCTACCAAATGTATCGGTGAAGACTAAATTTTGTGTCAGTGTTTTGAAAAGTCGTTCTTAAAAACTTTGTAAAAATGTCTTCGGTGCACTCTGATGATGATCAAGAGGAGATCAACGTGGACTCTGACAGCAGGCTGTCGGGCCACTGCGATAGGAGTATAGCATCAGAGGACCGGGATTCCGAACACAGTTACCATGACAGATATCACGATTCGCCAAACGAGCATATGACTGACACCCAACCGAGGGTGAATTTACCTTTCAGCATATCTCGGCTTTTAGGGAAACAATTTGAGGATATAGATAAGCGACGAAATTCAGGGGAAAGTGATGACAGAAGTGATCAGGACACTGAATCAGAGAGTGCTAAAGATGAAGGAAAGGACAATTCTGGTTTACCTTTGAACTTTTCGCACACTCCGGGTTTATATCCAAATTCTGGACTGTTATTGAGACCTGGGTTGGGTATTGGTGGTGGTTATGGGTTCTCAAGTAACCCTGGGGTTGTCAGAGTGCCTGCGCATAGAGCTCTGGGTGCATTGGGAGCCTGGGGAGTCACTATGGACCCGATGAGGCAAGCAGCGGCAGCGGCATTCGCACATCAAATTGTTAAGGACCGATTGAACGGTAAGTTAAGAAGTGTTATTTGATCATCATATTTTTTTCTTAGAGACAATCAAGGTTTAAATCACTGCCCTGACGAAGAAAATAATTCGATTTTTTTAACAGTTTATAAATAGTTAGTACACAAAGTAATTTATAATTAAATAGGTTACAAATCCTTGTCTATTCAATTACCGATATCTGATTGACGTACCAGCAGTATTAATTAATTACAATCTATCATAGATGAAGAGTCAAATGTCAAATCTGTTAAAGAGGTTAATGAGACTGATAAGAAATATATTGAATTGTCTCATATATTCCCAGTAATTAACTCGCAATAAATTGTATCTCTACATTTTACTAATTGGAACACAACGTATATTAATTATTATGACCTGAATATTTTATTCGAGTTCACTTTTTGTTCAATTAGTCAAGTCACTTGTCATATTTTACTTAATTGGTTTTCCATTAGTAGCTTGCACCATTGCTCCGTTTACACCTTTCGTATTCTGTCAAGATGTGACGGTAATAAACAAATTAATTCATCATCAAGAATACTAAAGACATTTTTAAAACTCAATTGCATTGCCAAGTTGACCAGTTACATTGGCATCGGTATCCTTTCCTTTAAGTCTAAATAATAGAGCATCGAAAAAAACAAATACTTCCACATCGAAAATTGTTACATTTGGACGTGTTTTTCCTTCTTTGTTTTTTTTTTACAAAAAAGGTTCGAAATCGGGTGCCAATGTCCTCTGCTCCAATTACCCTCGCGTGCGAAGCGATGACACACCTAGAGAACTATTTCTTTTTCCCTTTTTTTGGGTCCTTTGAGGCGAGATTGAAGGCGCCCCGTTCTGTAATTTGTCGCGTCGGCCGCCGGTCGGTTGGGGACAGATTTTTTGTCGTGTTACTCATCCTGACAGAAAATTGGTTGTTAAGTTCCTCGGTTAGTGTTGCCGTGGGTAATTTGTGGATTGTGGACGTTTGTTATTGAACCGGATGCCTTGGTGATTTGTTGTCTAAAGTGATTTTAGAATACGTGATTGAAATAGTTATGTCACTGTTATTTTATAGGACTTTTAAATGAAATCTTTATATTCAAGATTATTCAAACGGAGTAATCAATTATGTGACGTGGTGTATCTGACTCTAATTTAAAGTTCTTCCACTTTTTACAATTACGGTCATATCTGTTTTTATCGGGTTATTGTTTTTATCGTAGCTCCTAATTTCAAGTACCACTTAATACATTAACATTGCACTTGACAACATTATCCTTCTATTACAAAACCAAAGGTAAAATCCCACACACTTTTTTTCTCCCAACCCTGGCCAATTTACTCAAAACAAATTCACAAAAAAGCGATCCGCAGACCGACGCGTGCAGTCCCTAGTTTTTGCGACCACCGGCAAAGAGGAAGCGGTTACATTTACTATATAATTGAGACAATAGCTACTCTGAATCCCCATATCCGTACGTGAATCGGAAATACCTTAGCCCGAAAAAAAAGAAAAAAAAATAACATGATGTATGGCGCCAAATGATGTTTTTTTATTTTTTTATGACGCTATTAAATTTTTTATTGCACTTCATACACTAAAACACTTTTGTCGTTACACAATTTAGGAATTAAAGAATCGTTAAATGCATATTAACATAATCTTTGATTAACTGTTTAGGTAAACAGTTTATGGTTGATTATTCAGTGATCTAGATTAACATTGAATGTAGTTTGATTTTATACTCTCAGTTAAAGATTAAAGAGTTCAATTTTAATTGGAGTCGGTGAACCAAAATGGTGATAAAAACTATAAAAATGGTTTCTTAAAAGAGTTTTCTTGCAAATAGAATTTATGAGTTGTTAGTATGAATATTCAAGGGTAATTAAAAACGAACATAAATTAAAAATTAAGTGGTTTGGTGGTCACAAATGCGAACATAAAGTTCCGTGTTGAATAATTTCAACAATACCTTTTCAGAGACAATTGGTTAAGCCTATGTACAATTGGGATGATGACAGGGTATGAAAAATAAAAACAAATTAGTCCGTAATTTACATGTAATTTAGGTAATGAAAAAATATTAGACACTTTTTTATATTGTCGTATAATAAAACAATACTTAGATAAAACGAATCAAAGTTTAGGAGTGGGGGCTAAAACGTCATTTCTACATATAAAATATACATAGAAGTGACGTCACGCGACATTTCACATCAATATATTGTCGAAAGTGTTCGTTTCCGTAAGAAAATAAAAAATACGTGTCTAATGATTTAAAACAATCTACCTGACGGACATTAAAATAAAAATCAGGCATCTACCCTATTGTACATATACACCTGTGTTACGAATATCGGAAACGTAATGAAATGTAAATCGTTAGCAATTATTTGTTTAAGGTATTTAAACCGTGTGATGGCGTCAAAGTGAAATTGAATTTTCACCTTTCCTACTGTCTCCGTGGGTGTTGTAAGAGCCGATTAAGACTTAAAGAGTTACATTAATTAGACATAACATCACGCCTTTTATCCCTGTATTGGTAGACAGAGGTGCACACAGAAGTAACACCCACTTTTCACTATTTATATTATAAGTCCCATGTAATAGGGGGTGAGCCTATTGCACATTAGTTAGAGTAAACCCTAAAATACACTAGAGGACAAATGTCCCACGACATGTATCGGCGACAGGTCAAGCGAAGCTGGCCGATGTCGCCCGACATATTATAAGGCGACAACGCGCGCCTTATGTCCACAGCGACATTGATGTTGCCAGATATGTCGACCAAAGTCCAGCAACGTCGCGCTACTTCACCCAACGTCGCTGGCTACACGTCTCGCAGGACATCTGTCCCCTAGTTTATCCTTGGCTTTAAAAATAAACATAATATATAGATCTCTAGTTGATTTATACACTTGTTAGGCTACGATGGGACTGACATACACTGTCCAGTATAAAAGTCCCTAAAATTAAAAAGGAAATAAAAAATCATAATAATCGCGTTTTGTGCAATATCCTTTATTTCACTGGGGAACTCACAGGTTCATATAGCTACGTAAATTCGTCGGTTCAAGATCTCGCAAATATTAAACTCGTCTGGTGTCCATGGGCGGCGCTGATCGCTTACTATCAGTTGATACGTCTGCTCGTTTGCCTCCTATTCCATAAAAAAACCGACAACCACAACCGGAACGTCATTAATCTTCAGTAAAGAACATAGGTAATTATATTTTGTCAAACATCATATTGCGAATAACAGTTATATAACGGTTATAACATGGTAAAAACGTTCGTTTCCTCTTAAGCAACCACCCTAGTTGATTGTCAACCGTTTAGAAAGGCAAACCAGTTATGTTAAGAAAAACGGTAATCGTTTCGCCAAATCAATAGAGAGAGTAATAAGTCTTACCGCGGCCAGTTGGTAATCGTTGTTACAATTTCCGTTACCGTTCTCATTATTTTCACCGCATAATTTTACCTAATCCGTTTTTGTATCTATTAGTGATCATCGAGCTGTTTTATTATAGCTTTTTATATTGACCAACCTGAGTTGTGTATACCGCCAGTGCGGTGCAACAGTTTGGTTTTCTTTTCGTTTTTCTGCGGCGAAAAGTGTTGGTGAAGAAAATTAGGTAGTTGGCCGCAAATAGTCACGCGTCTGTCGGGGTAAAATAGAAAGAAAATGCGATATCTATATCTCTAGGCTTAGAGAGTAAATACAGGTTAAATATCACATAGATTTACTCGCGTAGCGCTCAGTACTCATGTTAAGTTTTGTTCAAAAACTCAACAGAAGACGTGATCTATTTTCATCACCAATATTCCATTAAAATCCGTGCATCAGTTCTTGCGTTTCTAACCAGCATACGTACAAAGAAGGGATATGCAGTACCTATGTACCTTATGCTTATAATGTGTTGTCTCTTGTAATATTGTCTGTGTGGTGTAATGAGAATGATAAATGAAATGATAAATAAATAAATAAATAAATAAACAAATATAATTAAAGTTAAACTATTCATAGACTGGTTTAAATTATATATAGTATCTTATCTTATACTAAGATAGTGTAGTGAGCATACTCTTAAATTATCAATCTACTGATAGTTGAAGACTTGTTAGATGTAACACATTCTCAGAGGGCCTAGTGCAAGTTTTTCTTTATGTTAACTTGATCGAATCGTTATCGCGTTTAGGCCTCTGATTGGCTGTTCCTATTAACGAACCAATCAGGGGTAAATGCAGTGAAGTTTCAATCAGGTTAACGCAAGAAGTAATACATATTTTTTTATGCTAAACGGTTTCAAGTTATATCCATGACGAAAGTACTCGTGAACAAAATAGATTACGTATATTGTATACTAGCTACTTCCGCGCGGTTTCACACGCTCTGCTCAGCTCCTATTGGTCGTAGGGTGATGTTTTATAGCCTATAGCCATTCTCGATAATTGCGCTATCCAACTCAAAAAGAATTATTCAAATCGGACTTGTAGTTACGGAGATTAGCGCGTTCAAACAAACAAACTCTTCCGCTTTATATAATAGTATAAGATGTATGGTCATCAAGATTAAGAGTGTGTACGAAATATTACATCGATCTGTCGTCAGGAAGGGAGTAGAATTCCAATTACTGAATTTAGGCAAGACAAAAAACAGGCAATCTGAATAAAACCGTTTCAAAAAACTTGCTTTTCTCACGACAGAATATACATCCCTACCATATAGATGGTTGGCAGGCCACAACTGTGCGCTTCTCACGATGCTTTCTGCCTCGCACAGCAAAACTGTGGAATGATCCATCGTCTGTGGTATTTTCGAAACGATACGACCTTCAAACCTTCAAGTAAAGAGAGTATTCCTTTTTAAAAGGCCGGCAACGCACCTGTGGCTCCTCTGGTGTTGCGGGTATACATGGGTGGCGCTGATCACTTACCATCAGGTGATCCGGCTGCTCGTTTGCCACCTATTCCATAAAAAAAACTTGCACTAGGCCCTCAGATGCTTTGGAACT